CTCTCATGGACGAGACTATAAAAAAATCAACAAGATCGAGCAATTTGACTTGAGGGGTTTTCGCAGTTTCAGTATTAAATAATCTACCCTTCGTCTCAAAACTAAAACTGTCATTGCCGCAGAGATTGGATCTATCGGATCCGTACCACGATGGCAAGTCCAAAAGAATATTTTAATGAAAATATTTAATCGAATTTGTCTTTATTATCAACATACAGTTTATCGAGCAATTCGAAATTGTTATATGTAATTATATCAATCGATCGTATTGCCATACTAACTCTCCACTATGTATGCTAATCGGGAATGCTTTCATAACCCCTGGATAAAAAGTATTAAAATTTGCAATCCTAGCATCATCTATAATACAAACTTTTTAAAAAGCACAACATTTTCCCGATATTAACATAAATAACCGCACCAATTTCTTATAGAAAAAATTCAACAATTATTCTAATAAACAAAAAGGATACGGATGTCATATATATTTCTGAAATAATTCCCAAATATATGTAAGTTAAAATTGTTGTAAAAAAAGATTTACACTTACATACATACATATATTGACTTAATACCAAAAACAAAATAGTACAAAATTTCTCTGTAAATTTGTTAACTTGCAAATTTGTATAAAAATTTTAGTAAAATTTTTAGAATTTATATTTTATTATTTCACAAATAATATATGTATTTATTCATTAGAATTTAACACACACATGTGCATACTTTCACATAAAGTCAACACTTTACATGCGTAAATATGGAAACCAGATAAAAAATTTTGGCAAAAAAAAAAATTAGGAAAAACCTAAACATAGTTTAGTTTATTTAAGTAAAATTTCAGTTTATTTACATTTTGTATGTTGAATTTATAAATTTATGCTATAAAAACCAAATAAAATGAAAAACTTTAAATATGTAAGAGAAAAAATTGCTGGAGTAATGAGACTGTGCAAAGCTTTCCAGGAAATGTTTCTTTTGATCACTTATGTATAGTTTAATGAATGGATTTTAACGAAGAGAATAAAAAAGATTATACATTAGAATTTAAAATCTAAGAAGTTATTTGGTAAATGTCTTCTTTGTGGGTTTTAAGCAATGTCTTGATAGTTTGACTAACTAGACAAATGGATAAATCTAGTAGGCTTTCAATTAGATGTAGTGCATAAGAAATACAAGATACGAGAGTTGTAGAGACAAGTTTTTAAACTTTAAAAAAGTATTAAAAAAATCAGAAGTACTTTAAGAAAAGCTTTTAACTCTGTTTGATTCAGCTTAAGAATATGCTAGGCTTAAACTTCACATGAACTTATACTCCGCTCTGTAATATATTTAACGTCTTTAGTGGTATTCCACTCCTTCAAAATGAACAACATTCAAAAGCCCAAACAGATGGTTGCTCTCCAATGATTCAGAACCTCATTTTGGATTATCTCATAAGATTTTTGGGGTTCTACTCACCACTATCCGATCTTCACAAGACTAGAACATTCTTGAAATTGGTTTTTGATTCTTGGCGACTACAGTTTATCATACAACCTGCGTATTAAGCCAGAAAATTATATATTCTCAAAAGTTTTATTTTTATGTTCTATATACATATTTTTATATTGTAAAAAATATTCATATTTTGCAAATTGTACAATTAAAAAGGAAGTTGAAAAGTTCTCATTTTATATATTTTTCTTGCAGACCTTCTGCAAACTACATACATATTTGTGTATATGCGTACATTTGCATACGCAATGTACCAATGAATATCCTGTCCTAGCACATATTTTTAGATATAATATGTATGTATATTTTGTATGTACATACATATGTATATAGTTATCCAAGGGTGTCAAATTTATTTTTTAACAAATGCATTTGTATGTTTGTAATGATATGTATGTATTTCTGACTTTTTATTATGTAAAAGACAATAAATTGCTTTGTAAATAAAATGTTTTCTAACATGACATCATCTTTTACAGCAAATTTTGTTTCTACACACATATTTTCTTCTTTTAAAACTATTTACATCTGTTAGCTGCTGAAGCTTAGAATAGAGTCTCTCCTATTGTTCTTCTTGTATTTAACCCGAACATGTATGAAACGTGCATCATTAGTATGTAAATATTCGTTAGTTTCAATTACAACCAAACAACAACAATTGCAACAATAATTCCTTAAGTAAAAAAGAAACTAGCCTCCTTTTTTCTCTCACTCTGCTCCCAAAAAAAAAAAAACACACACACAAAAATAAAAGTAAAACTTCTCTTGCACATAAAAACTATTTCATATTGAGACCCATGACTTTAACAATATTTTCTTGTTAAATACAATTTTGAAGAAAAAATATTTTACCTCAATTCCTAAAGTCCTTGCTTCGAAGAATTCGTGTGTAAGTGTGCGTATGTCCAAAGGTGTGTGTGTCACATTCGAGCTTAACTTGCACAAAATTGAATTTATTACAAAAAAAACAAAGAAAAACAAAAAGTAGTTTATTTCTGTGTATGCAGCAGGTTAAATGTCCGCTTGTATGTATGTAATATTTTGTTTTAAAGCGTTTAACAGATTTATTGAATTTAATCAGTTCCAGCCAAATTTTCAGAATGGCATTAACAAAAAACTATACAATAGAAATTAAAGAGTTTTGAAAGCGAATTTTATGTTTTATCAAACATTTATGTAGGTTTACAAAAGTTTTGCTTTTTCAATATTTACATAGAATTATTTACCTTTTTATTTATATTTTTCGAAACTAATTTTCTACCCGATCTTGTTTTAAGGCCCAAATAGACTACACAAGCGGCTTGACAAACATACCAATATTTTACGTTTGTGCAAGCCTGTTATGTAGTGTATCAGGGTGTTTCGTGTTTGTACAAATGCTTGCTGTTCGTTTGTACAAAAATTAAACAAATTCGATTTTTACACAAACATATTGAATTTTTGTCAAACCGTTTGTATTGTTTATACATATTCATTAACAACAAAATTTTCACAAAATTTCCATTTCTAAGAAAAATTGACATCTGTATCTTTGCAAGTTTGTATAGTGTGTGTGCGAATGAAAAAAGTATGTTTGATAAGCCGCTTGTGTAGTCTATTTGGGCCTTTAGCTATATTGGTTTCGAAAAAAAAAAAAAAAAAAAAAAAATTTGATCTAGATTGATTTTGTACAATGTCAATTTATTTTTGTAATATATTTTTTCTTCACTTACCTTTTTCATTTTGTGTAATACCTTTTTTTAAATCTGCTTCAACTTTTTGATTCAAATGGCTGGTTTTTATTTTTAATTATTATTGTATTAATTATTTGGCATTACAAATTATCGCACAATTTTAAATTTAAACTAAAGTCAGTTATAATTTTTTTTTGTTCCTGTAAAATTGTGCAGTAATCTATGCAATTTGAAAATTTTCTTTTCATTTCCTGTATTATTTTCATTTTTACATTAATACACATCTTTATTTAGCACTAAATCGATTTTATTTATACATTTCCCTTTTCCGTTTGCTTTTGAGCAAATACACATCTTTAGCTCTTAGGTAATTTCCATTTCCGTTTTCCTTTTGATTTTTTCAAAAACACACATCTTTAGTTATCACTAAATTGAGCAACTTTCGATTTCTCTCTCGATAACACCAAAATATACATAAACACAAAAAGCACATCTTTAACAACTAAAAGCCGAAGCAAAAAAACCTGAACAACCACACAAACGAATTGCCGTTAGAAACTTTGCACACATATTTCTCATATTAAACGTAAACAAATTCAATAAAACTTTTTGTATTCTTATTATTTATGTATTTATCTTTATTTTGATATAAATTTTATAACACTAGCTGTATTTTTTCACCCAATAAATAATTTTTTCTTCAACGCATTCTACTAAGACTTCCGCGCACTTTAAGGACCGACATTAAACTAAAATGACAGTAATGACAATTCTAATAAGAAGATAGTGTTGCAGAGTTGTATTTTTGCAACACTTTTTGTCGTTGGCAATAGTAAAAGGAGTTGGTTATTGAATTTTTTCCGTTATACAACACTACATTTTTGTAATTTTATGTAAATAAAAGAATTTTCTAATTGAATTTTTGAATGTATGCTAAATTCTTTGTTACTATGCTCTAAGTAGTTTGCAAATGGATTTTATGAAATAAATATGATTAAATATTGTAGCTCTGCACAGAAAAGGGTCATTTTTATGTTTTTCTAACAAAACATTTTCTGTATGGGAGGCCGTTAGTTGCAACTTCTTATTACATTTTTCCATTATTTGTTTGGCCGGAAGCAAAAATTTCATTATAGAGAGAATTTTCAACATTATTATTTATAGTATAGTACGTTTTGTTTGTTCCGGCATTGGAACTTCATCCTATACGGAATATTCAGCATTTTTAATTTCTGTTTACAGGAACTTCTTCCTGTAAGGTATATGTTTTAGCATTCCTTTTTTGGGGGGCAGTAACTTTCTTCTGCTGCGGTTATTCCACATTTTGTTTATATATTTTGTATATTTGGTGTGACCAACACAGAAAATTCCTTCTCCTGCAAATAAAGAACGTTTTTGGTTCGGCCATAAGGTAGAACTTCATCTCTGGCACTGTATCTCGATTTGTTTGTAAGCATGGAAACTTTTTATTTTGAAACTTTTATTCTATAAATAAAACTAAACCAATTGAAACTGGTTATTTGCAAACTTCATATTTTTCGATTATCTGTCCCTAATTTTAGTTCCCATATAAAGCCCACATACCCAAATTATGTTCATACAGTTTTTTCTTCGCACTTACAGTGTATAAGTAGTATATTTTTGAAAAAAAATATTTAGAAACGTGTTACATTTAAGCAAAAAACTATGACATTTCGTTTAGGAAAAAAAATAAGATTATCTTATAAAGACTAAAAAGAAGAGATGAAGTTATACATATTACTTAATTAACATTTAATCACAAATGGAAGCATGAGTAAGAATGCAGATTATACAGCATTAGTTTGTTTCTTTGTTTTCCGTATGGCCGCTTACAAAACACACAACTATGACGCTATGAACCCCACCCTCCAACTATCAATCAAACCATCCATCCATCCAACAAACAAACAATTACAACTAATTGGAACTTTGTTTATATATAATGCCAGTAATTTCACCATCTTTTTGTATAATGCATCGTCTGGGAAAGATAAAAAGAAAAATTATAAACAAATTTAATACTTAAAAACATAGCACATACTTGTTCCCACTGTACAAAACAATTGTGGGCGGATTTAGATTTGGTTCCAATTTACAAGCCTGTTCTGATAAAGCCATACCAATGCCTGACATTTTGGGATTTATTTTACCTTTAGCTGAAAAGCACACAAATAAAGCATTCAATTACATGAAATTTATTAAAATATTTGTTTATTTCTTACCTCCTAGACAAAGACCCTGACGATTTGTTATTAGACAGCCCACAGTTTCTGGCTGCGAATTACTATAATCATTTTTGTATTAAATTTGGTGGTTTTATTTATTATATGCTTTTCGTTTACTTACATATCATTTAAAACTTTTTCTAATTGTTGTTCCATTTTTGAATTTCGTATAAAATTAATAAATTCTTTATAAAAATTTAGATTTTTTTCTTAAATGTAGATTTTAATACGTGATAAACAAAATACATATAAAACAGCTGTTTGTTTGTCATAGCTAGATATGTGTTTTGTACGATAAATATATGTTTTGACAGGGTTGTCTTTTGTTTTTTCTTAAGCAGAGTACGTAAATAACAATTATTTTTAAATATTTTTTGGGTTTATTTTTTAATTTCCTTTTGATAAACTTTCTATTTATTAAAACAATTAAAATTTTTGAGTTTTTTCTACTCATTAATATATAACATGTTGAATATTTCCACATTTGAGCAACTTTTAAGTTTTTCATATATATGAAAATACTGCATTACTCACTAATCTGCATTATCATATATACCAGACACAAAAAGATAAAATAGTTATTTTTAAAAACAAATACATAACTCTTTGCGGATCTAGTTCTGTTTCACCTTTCTTTCTTAATTTAAATAAAAAAACTCCTTTACGCATTTAATTTTACGCTTTCTTATAATAGATATTTTTTATTGGTTTTTACTACTTTATAAAGTTTCTTATTTAAATTTATTAAATTTTTTTTATAAAATTTATATACTTTCTTTTTGTAAGATTTTGGAATATTTCGTTTTTTAATTTAAAGTGCATTAGATAAAAATTAACACAAATTCTTATTTCAAATAATAATTGTTTGTTTTTCAATATTAACACATTTGAAATAGAAAGAAAAATGTTTAAATTTTTCCTTTTTTCCATTTGAATACAAATAAACTTAAGATTCTATTAAAAATACAAATATAAATGATTAACATAAAGACTCAAACAATCAAACTAAAAAAGGAGGAAATATTTTTTTCCACCCTAGGAGTATAGGGAATAATAGTAATAATAATAGTGTGGAATAATAATTTGCTTGTTTTGTTGTTTGCACAAAAAGTATTGATGAGAAAAATTATAATTCTATATACGACGACAAAAAATGAAGATTAGTAATAGTAATTAAACAATTTCATATTTATCAACAAAAAGTATATTTTCTGTTGAATGTTTCACACTGCTATCGTTGTCCACTAAAACAACATCCTTGGCTTTTAAGGCTGCATATGGAGTTTTTGAGACAAATGAAACCTTTGAATAAGAAAATTAGTTTTATTAGTTTTTGATTTATACGAATTTTATTTATGTTTAGTTGAGAAATTGAGAACTTACTTGAACTGGGAAGAAATCTCCAGGTATAGATGAATTACAACTGAACTCCATGGAACCGGACTTATTGGCAGCATCAATAACTGGTATGTTCCATGTTAAAATGTGTTTGCGTGCATCATAGTTGTAAGTGCCATCGTATTCTGCTACAGATGGTTGAACATTCATGCTATAATAGATTTTAAATAAATTTTAATAATATTTTGTAGTTCTATGATATATTAAAGAGTTCTAACTGTAATTCTAATTTATTTTTTGTAACAAATTGATAGATTAGAAATTGTTCTTATTATTTATGATATTGTAGATTTTAAAGCTGATAAAATATGCGTTCTGTAAAACTGTAGCTAATCGCAAAACCGGAAGATATTCAAATGAATTTAGATAATTGGCTATCTATTAAACCAATAACCAACTCAATTGGTCTATAATTTTATCTGGCCTCTATTAATTTTAATTCAACTAATTCATAATTTCCATTTCCGGAAATTCCTTAAATATAATTAGTTTTAAAATTATTGAAACTTACGGCAATGGTATTATAATAGCAACATCCTGTAATTCCAAATGTTGAGCTTCTAATTCATATTCAATATTAACATCACAGCCACCTTCACCATTTTCCGAAGGCCAACAATTAACTAAAATTAAAATATTTTCAAAGAATTAATAAAAATTCCTATCCACAGAAAAAAACTTTACTTACTGGTCAATGGTATGGCAGCATCATCCTGTGTAACGTAACGCCATTTCAAAACACCCACATCGGTGTTCATGGGGAAAGGTTTAGCCGGATTCTTTAAGCCAATGATTGAGCGAGTTTTGAATAGTTCCTTATCGACATTGGGATGTGTTTGCAGTTGTATGCCATGTGCATCGTTATTTTCCAAGTGAACTTTAATGCGTCCGAAATTTTCATCGGTTATGCGTAAAGTTAGCAGACCGGACAATTCAAATTGTTGTAGACCACCATCACGTCCTATGCGTACCACCAATTTATCTTCCATTTTCAAGTGAACACTTTCCGTATGAATGTCAGACACAATTTTAGCTTTAGCTGAAGCCACAGCAGCACTAACGCCTGCAGAGGCCGGGGTTAAATTGGCAATCTTCTCACCCTCTGACTTCAATTGATCAACAAAACTATCCACATCCTTTGTTTTACCGCCTAATTTGAGGGCATTGCGTGAAACAGGTTTTCTGAAAGAAAACATTTTTACTGTAAAGTACTTTCCTTTTATTTTTTCTTAAAACTTACTGTGCTTTAGGAGCCATTGATTTATTATCCATTTCAATGGAGGGGGCACTACTGAAACCACCCATACCACCGCTGCTGCTATTGCTATTCGAGCCAAAGCCATCCGAACTAAAGCCACCACTAGAACGTCCGCCCATACCGCCCACCGGACCACCACGTTTAGCCGATTCCATGCGCTGTCTTTGCAATTCTTTGGCTTTCTCACGCATTCTTTGTTTCGCCTCACGTTCTTGACTTTGACGAACCGCTTGATAAATCTTCTCATCGTTGGAGTCCATTTCTACATAAGTTTTAATTTGTGCCAAATTAACACTTTCCCTATAGCCCAAGGCTACAATCTCATCAAAAGCAAATATTAAATTGAAAGCATTTTCCAGAATTTCCTTCTCTTCAAGAGTATGACAATATTCAGGTATAACCTTGGAAAATAAACGCAAAGTTTCCAAATCTTCCAAAATATTACTAGCCTTGGTGGTAATCAACAACATGTACAACTTCTCCATAGGCTGGTAAACATAACGCACCGAATCGGTTTCCACGTAGGTGTGCTGCTTGCCAGCAGTCATTAGCTTGGGAAAAGCAGCCAATAAACCCTCAATGCGAGCCTTAGTCATTTCCACAAATTGACGTGAAATGATCACTAAAAATTAAATAAACAAATATACATATCTCACATTCCTTTAGTCTTTATGCAAAAAACAAACCTTTTCCATTTTTGGTACACACCGCTGCCGCTATCAGAACCTGTCGCAATTTACAAGATAAAATTTTCAGTTTTTCTTCGCCTTTTATTAAGTTTTTTTTACCAAATTCACACTTACCATTTTAATGAGTTTGCAAGTTAAAATTATTTATATAAAATTCTCAAGAATTTTGCAGATTTTATGTTTTTTATTGAAAATTTTACGAAAAATTTAACTTTTGGGTAGGCTAGCTGACGTGTTCGATTAATAATTTTTTTACAATGAAAATATGTCAAAATTGTCAGTTGTATGTGTTTTTTGTTTAGTTGTTATCAACTCTTGGCAACTCTATTGCTACAATGACAGTTGAAAATGTCATAATAATGTTTTTGTGAAGGGATGCCAGAAGAAATTATAAAAAATTTAGATGATTATGGGGAACTTGTAATTCCTTTACGTATTTTTAACAGAGAAACTAAAAATAAATTTTTTTTGCTTGCTCTCGTATAGTTGTGGAGTTTTATAATTCCACAGGTACCCAAGATACATATAAAACATATAACCAATATACTTGTCTAACAACAACAATATTTAGTTTGTTTGAAAGGAGGATGTATGTTACATCAAATATGAAGAAATATACCTAGGCCTCCATTGGGCCTCTTGGGGACTGCTTTTCCAGTGTATCTGGTGGGAGTCGAGCCTGTATCTCGTTTCTGTAATTTTCTCGAATCGAGAAAAAACTGATAATATAATAGTCTTACAGTCTTAATTTTCGTGTATTCACCCTGTTTTACACAAGATGATCATGATTTTTTCGACAGATTTTCTCGATGCGAGAATTACAGAAACGGGGCACTGGTCTAATAGACAAATATCGTTTTAAAAATAGACATCTGCCTAATTTTTATAAATTCCTGTCATGGCAACACTTTTATACTGCCTGATTTACATTCAATCTGGCATCTCTTTAAAAAATATGACAGTTGTAAAATTAAATTTTTTGGCGGACGACTTGCATCGACAAACGCAAATATCGTAAAAGAGTTGCAAAATTATTCCAAACAATAATAAAAAGCATTTTCTTTAAACAACAATTAACACTTATCAATAAATAAATATAAATGAGTTTGGACGATTCAATAAATGCATATTTTGTTATCACAAATAATGCCTCTGAGGAAGACAAAGCCTACAAAGATTTTAAGCGAGCCCTCACATATCTACAAAATCATATTCCCGAAGAGAATATACGACAAATAAAGGCCAGTGAAGGATTTCCCTTGATAGCCTCTGGTAGGCTATCGAAAAAAGATGTTTTCATATTTGATCGTTTCGAAGGTGATTTCTTTCAACAACTACAGCAGACAAAATCAATTATAATAGGGCCACCATGTCTGATCAATTGTCTACTAAAGAATCAAGAGATACCTTTGGGTACCAGTCCCGTGTATACGGCAGCTATGCGAGATTTACAAATATCGGCGACCGGCATTACACCACAAGAGAAGGAAAAGTTGAAGGGTTTGATTCAATGGATGGGTGGTCACTATTTTCAGAATTTCAGTCGTTCCATTACACATTTAATATCGAATACCATTAAATCGGCTAAATATGAGCATGCCACACTGAATGGTATACCAGTGATGCATACAGATTGGGTTCAGCGCGTTTGGGAGCGGAGTTGTGCGGCAGAGGATATTTCGGCCACAGATGAGGAATTTGATAAATATAAATTACCTATATTTTTTGGTACGAATATTACGTGTACTGGATTAGAGAATGATAAAAAGAATGAAGTAAGTATCAATAGGTTTAGAAATCTTAGTAGATATTATTTGAAAATGTAGAAATTGTATGAATCATTGACAATCGATTGGAAGTAGTGTTAATGAAAAGTTAAGTCGCCTTGGATATGGACGAAACACTAAGAAATCATTATTAAATATTAGAAATATGGGCCCAGTTCTTAACATATACTCCCAGAAATAAATATCCACATCCAGATTGCGTTCTTAAAAATATTTTTATAATTTTTCTTTAGGTCATGCGCCTGGTCAACGAAAATGGTGGCACCTACCATCGTGCTTTTCGTTCACAATTAGTTGATATTGTTATAACCGAAAAGGATAAAACTAATTCAGAAAAATATGCAGCTGCAGTGCGTTATAAAAAAGACATACTCTTACCCGAATGGATATTTGATAGTGTACAAAAGGGATTTGCTTTGCCCACGAAACCCTATCAAGTAAAATCATTAAAAGTTTCCACGCCCACCAAAACCGATCAGAGTATAGCAGATTTTACGGCAGCCGATAATACACATCTATCGGATATATCACGTATAAGTACGCTGGGTTCGAAGCGTTTTAATCATGATGCAAGCACTGTTAATGATACCATTTGTTCGGCTATGAATGACACACAAAGTGGTCCAACATTTGTTGCACCAGCAGCGCCCGTATCCAAAGATTTGAAAAAGGATCTTTTGAAAAAGGCCGGTTCTGGTACACATTACAAATTGGTTTATGAGGAAATATGCCCTAAGAAAGCTAAAAAGGCTGGAAGCTTTTTAGATGGTTGTTGTATTTACTTGAGTGGTTTTCGTTCGGAAGAGAGGGAGAAATTAAATCGTATTTTGAATGTAGGCGGGGCCACACGTTATGATGTGGTCAATGAGAAGATAACTCATATAATAGTGGGTCAATTAGATGACAATGAATTTAAATCCTGGAAAAAAGATAATTTACTAACAGGTAAGGAAAATTTAATATAAATTATTTTAAAGAAAATATTGCTAATAATGCCTTTTCAGCGGTAAATATTGTACGTTTGGATTGGCTGCAAGAGAGTATTAAACTCAAGCAACCTGCCAGTGAAGCCATATATCGAGTTTCTCTACCAACTTCTAGAGAACCAGACGCTCCTTCTCCCTCATCGAAAAAAACTTTGCGTTCAATGAATCATAGTTTCAAACAACCAGAAAAACCCATTAAAAAGAAATTATTCTCTAAAGATTCTGAAAAAGATGATGACCAGGCTTCGCAAACAAATTCCACTATGCAACCACCTATTGCCTCATCAACGGAACATCCTGTGGAAGCAGATGAACAAGATTTAATTGCTCAATATTCCCAGGAAAATGTACCGCAGGCTGCCATACCTCTACCACAAACTTCAATGCATAATGATGAATCTTTGGCCTATCCCATGGCTTGCTCCACCCAACTCACTGCCAATGAACCAGCAGTGCCTCAGCCTCAAGCTGCCCCTGTACAGGCTAATCCTTCAGATTTAACCGATGGTACTGGTATTACTATCGACTATGAGAACTTAGATTTTTTCCAAGGTTCATCTTTGTACATTGATAAAGATCATTTCCCTGAAGAATTCTATACACAAATGATAAGTGAGTGTGAAGCAGCTCAAGGTAATGTGGTGCCCTCCACATTTCGAGATCCAGTTGATTATGCAATCGTATCCTTTGAGAACACTTTCGATCCAAGTCAATTGCCTGTTAAAGCCAGACATATTGTAACTGAATTATATGTGGTAAGTACTCACAAAATTTAATTATTTTTGATCTTGAAAAAATTTTATAATTCTAACTTGTGAGTTAAATATATGATGTTTTCAAGTGAGTCGTAGCGGCCTCTGAAAATGCATTTCATTCGCCCAGTCTTAAAACAATTTTTCACTATTTCTTTAAGTAATTACAATTTGCAGTTTTTTCTGCTTTCAAATCTGAAATAATTTATTTAATAAAAAGCAAAAATATTACAATATTACTTTTAACATGTTACTTTAACTTATGTAGGAAAGTTGTATGAAAGCCAACAAATTAGTTCCCATTGAATATTTCCACAAACATATACCACACACGGCCGATTCTCGACCTCTGGAAGGCATGACAATTGTCATTTCTATTTACTCTCTCTTAGAAAGAGATTTTATAGATTCTATTGCTCAATTATTGGGAGCAAATGTGAATAAAACATTTGTAAAGAAAGAAAAGCCTCTGTTAATATGTCCCTCGGCTGAAGGATCAAAATATGAGGGTGCCATAAAATGGCGTTACCCGGTTGTAACGTCTGAATGGTTGCTGCAGTGTGCTAAAGAAGGAAAGAAAGTTCCTTATAATTTATATTTAGTAGGCGATAGTCCAGATGATTTTCCCATATCACCCACCTTAAGAGAGCGCAATACTAGTAAGACTGAAACTAAAGTAACTCCTACTACTCCTATAACACCCATTAATATGGATGTTGATGGTGTTGAAAACAATGTGGAAAGTGTTGAAAATTTAAGGCAAAATAGTGCAAGTACAAATACTGCAGAAACGTTTACGCCCTTAAGGAATAAAAGAGTTTCAGAACTGGCGGGACCTGGCCGTAACACTAGGCAATCTTTATCGAATACCAATAACATGGGTCCAGAATCTCCACACACACCTACTAATACTTATCCACAAGCTTCTTATAATTTTGATTTTATGGAAATGATTTTGGGAGAAATAGACAATGAAGAAGAACGTGAGTGTTTAAGAGAAGTTATTAATGAAATGAAAAATAATCAAACGCCTGAACTGGAGCGCATACGTAGACAGGCCTGTACTCCAATTAATCGCAAGTTACCAACACCTAAAGGTATACCAGATTTTTGTACTACACCCGAGTTTGAAAAACGTATGGCTGATGAGTTTGAAAGACGCTGGCGTTTACCCACTAAGAAAATGAAACCCGATACTCCAATAGATGAAATACGTAGACGTGTAATGCGGGCAACTTGCAAAGCTATGGGTATACCATACAGTGATGAGGATGATGAACAACCTGGAACATCTTCAGGAAAAAAATCTTCTAGAAAAGTTATAGATTCAAATACCACCACCCCGTTAAATAATAAAGTTACTCGCAGTTCAACTATAGCTCCTAGGTCTATATTTGCTCATAATACACCCAATAATAATACTTCTATCAATAACACCAAGGCCGACGATAACGAAACATTCAATTTACCAACTAATGAAACCAGGAAATCAGACACATTTGTACCCAGCACACAAAGTCCCAACACTTCATTAACCAGACGTAGTATGTCAAATACAACTGCGTCGCCTAGTGGTTTAGGGCAGAGAGCTTCATTGGTTGGTAAATCAACTATTAATTTTGATAAAATCAGTTTTGAAGAGACAAATGTAGCAGAAAATGCCACGACCACAAAGGCAAGACCATCTGTTAATGCCACTGCCTCACCGGAAATTAAACAAATTACCGATTATCTACGCAATTGTGACTCTAGGCGTCAGAGTTTAAAACGTACCCGTCAAAATATCGATCGTCCACAATCTCCTGTAGAATCTATGGAAACAGAGGCTCATTATGTGCAACCATTTGAATCAGAACAATTACATACCCAAGATTTGGTGGGATGGCGTGATCCGGCGGAATTCGGAGCCCAAAGACGTTCGAAAATGGCGGAAAAATCTATGCAATACCAAGGAACACCTCGTTTTAGTATTTCCTGTTCGGATGAGGAAACCAGAGATGATGTTATTGGTAAAATATTACAATTGGGAGGAGAGGTTAGTTTGACAATTTTCGCTTTTTTTCAATTTGCTATAATAACATTATCCTTTAAAGGTCTGCGAGAATTTGGTGAATTTTGATCCAGAATGTACACATTTTGTTTGTGAAAAGCCCAATCGTGGCGAAAAAATGTTAGGTTGTATTTCGTCCGGCAAATGGGTTTTGAGTATCAAGTACATTGAAGAATGTTTTGCCAAAGATGTTTTCATCGATGAGGAGCTCTATGAATGGGGCAATTGTAAAGCTCTTAATCTGCCACAGTTATCCCCCGATGAACAGGTTATTGCCTCAGCAGCACATCGTTGGCGCAAACAATTAGCCACCGATGTCCATGGTAATCGTAATGGTGCTTTCACTGGCATTAAAGCCATTTTACGCATCTCAGGCCGTAACATAGATGCCCTCAAGAATGTCATTAAGGCGGGTAAAGGTGAAATTATTGAAGCATCATCTCCTTACTCCAGCTGTTCGCAGTCATCTCAAGCTTCGCATTGTTTTGTTGATGTTAAAAAGTGTCCCTTAAATCAGGAAGACTATCGTTTTCTGAAAAATCATGACATCTTCGTTTTATCTCAAATGTACATTAATGCCTTCTTGATGAATGGCGCTGATGTGGACATGTCTAAATATGAGATAAATATGTAGATATTTTAGAATATCATATGAAATCATCATGTAACGTTACATACATACTTACTAATTGTTGTAATATTTAGATTTATTTTGTCATTTCTTTTAAATTCTTTTATATCATATATATTGTCATAAAGATATCACACTATTTGTATCATCTATGGTTAGTATTTAATGTTAATAATAAATATGTTCTTGTTTTTCGGCAAACACGTTTTTTTGGCGTTATTTAATAAAAAAATAGATTTCTACTTTATATGCTAAATTAAAAAATATTAAATATATTGTATATCCGTATCATGAAACAAAGAAATCCGGAAATATTTGGATCCGTAGCTATCAAAAAATTAGATAATACGGTAACCCTAACAAATCATCTGGCAACTGCAAAAAACAACTTATTGTTTTGTTCTTATTCGTACTAATTACAAATACATAAGTACATACGTTAATAAACAATTAGTTTACCCAATAAACAATACCTTTTTGTAAAGAGAATAAAATATTAAATTGTTATTGAGCATAACAAAAGCTTTTAAAGTTCGTCACGTACGGTATTGTAAGTACTAGAAATGCAATTAAATACCTACATATATCAGAGTCCACATGAAAATTATAGTTTTTTTTTAAGATGGGTAAAAGTAGCTATGAGAAAACAAAGAAATGGAGAGAGGAGTTGAAAAAGGACGAAGAAAAAATGAAGAAGTACCGGGAAAAGGAGGCTGCAAGACAGCGTATCTATCGACAAAAGATGGCAATTGCAGCCAAAAAAGACAATAAGCTTCTTCAAGAAAAAAGAAGAAAAAATCGCATTCGACAGCAAAGGCGGAGAGGGAAAATAAATAACAATGTATATATCATTATCCCTAAATCTTCTTATAAATGTAAACAAACTTTGGTGAAAGCTGTAAGAAAGGTAGAGATGTCGTTGCCAAAGGACAAGAGTAAAATAGTTGAAGTAATTGAAGGTTTATATAAAAAATATGTGGAGCGCACAGTACGTGAACAGAAAAACACCTTGGATTAATTGAAAGTATTTAGAACTAAAAATTATACTTCCGAGATAGAATAAAACTACAAGCTCTTGGACAAAAAGATTATACCTATGATGTGAAAATAATTTGGTTACTCTACATTTTCGTAGAGAAAAATCTGTCACATACGATATGTTACGACAGATATTAAATTTTATTCATTATAAAATAATCCAAAAAATATTTTTTAATTAAAAACAACGATTTATTAACCAAAACTTTTGAAATTACAAACAAAGTAACTTTAGCATTTTTTACATGTACCTCAAATTTTCTTTCGTTTTATGTCACGTTCATTTTATTTCGCTAGATAGGTATTTTGAACAAAAATTATTGTTATAGGTAACTATACCTAATTCTATTTTTGCAAAATCTATACAAATGTCACGTACGATGATATACAAACGCACGTATTAAAGTTTTTCTCTATACGATGTTGTTATATTAAGCATTTTCCATAGAAAACATTGATACCTACCTATACAGAAAATTTTTCTTAAAAAAATTATTAAAAAAAAATAAAGCACTAGAAAAAAATGTACTAAAGGACATATTGGCATTACGAAACTATGTATTTTATTACAATTAAATTTTTGCACACAATATTGTTTTTATTTCAAATATTTTTCTTTATTAATATACGAGTACGGTAGGTAAGCAAATAAATTAATATTAAATGTAATATTTTTTTAATTATATTAAAGATTGTTTAATATTATGTGTGTGTGTGGGTATATGTAAAGAATATATATTTATGTATTCGCATTGTTTGTTTTCTCCACTGAACATCGTTTTCTCATAATAAATATCGAAAAATATTTGATATTAATCAATATAAATTACAAATAAAGTAATAATATTATGGTTTTTCTTGTGATTATATATAACGTATAGAACATAGTAAATAAATAGGTATATTATATATGTTTGAAAACATTAATAAGGAAGAAGGTATTTAAGGTTTTCTTTTAATTGTTTTAACACACAATAGGGGATTAAGTTTAAATTTATTAAAACAAATATATAAATATTGCATAAACTATTGCTTAAAGGAGTAGTTAGCAAAAAAGCGGGCTTAGAATAAATAAATAATTTTGAACTTACAAAACAAATAAAAAACAATTTTTGACAAAATACTATACAAAGAAACTTATGCAATTAGACAAACATTTAACAACCAATTTTTGTTATTTAGGGTTCAAGAATAATATAAATAATAAACCATTTAAACTTTATAAACAATATAAAATAAAAAATATATAAAACACTGTTGAAAAAATTTGGAGGCATTACTTGAAAAATAACAAATTTATTGATCTAAATAATCCATGGTCTTTATGAATTTTACAACGGAACCAAATAAGGTCCAATGGAATTGTTCTTCACCATCAAGTTTTTCACCAATAAAACATGTTATATACTCAACAGTGGATAGTAAATAAGGAGGATTAGCCTGTTAATAAAATTAGACATTAGACACTAGGTATATTTTTATTAATTAAAGAAAAACCTACCATTATAACAACATAAATAAGAACGGGCAAAATATCATCCGCAGCTGGTGCTCGGCCACTGGACATGTGTAATAAACTCATTATACTGGAAATACATCTGAAATTTTAACACAACCATGAATCAAATTCTTTATTTTGAATATTGAAATTAAAAGCCTTTACCTTATAACACACTGTAACTTTTCGCGAGGCGTTTTATAGGCAGAAATAAAAGTTAACTCTTGTTGAGCAAAACTCCAGGGAGCCTCAGAAAGATATATTTGAGGTATACATAGAGCTGGATGGGATGGTGTAATAACATTTTGTAGTTTACGTATATGTTCAGATAAAACTCTAAAAATGATATAAACATTAATACAAATAGCTGCTTATGGTATCAGTATTGCTGCTCAACTTACGTATCTCTTGATAAATCAGCATCCTCATTGGGAAACATAACCTGTTGATACATACTCTGCAGCAATATTCTCTCCAAAGACATACGTGCTTCCACCGCCTGCCATTCGGGCATACCATTTAAAATACCTCCCACCGATAATAATTCCTCCATTAGGCTTTCTATGAACTCTTCAATCAAATCGATTTTATCATCTGACACGGTCAGACGTGCAAAATCCTCTTGGAATGCTGCAATTTTATCTTGTCTTTTTTCAAAAAACAAACGCATACAGACAGCCATTAGGTAACGATTGCATGTTGAACTTTCACTTCTCAAACGAGATTCGTACTGTTCAATATTTTCCATAATCATGAGGAGATTTTGGCGATAACGCATTAAATACTGTAAATAACTTTGTCTTTTTTGTATGTCATTCTGAAGTTCTTCCATAAGCTGTGTATGCTGGTTAATTTCCAGTTGAGATATGCAACGTATAGCTTCGGAGACATAAGATATTTGTTGGAAATTTTGCAAATTTATAGCCTGAGCCAATTGTATTTGTAGATATGTTAAAAGGGGAGAAGTATTGGTATGCTGTAACAAATAAACAGTAAATACATATTAGATTTGTAAAAAATTAGTTCTTTATTAAAAACAAAATCTTACAGTTGTATGACGAAAATCTCCCGAATGCAAATCAGTCTTGGACAATACAGTGCGTATCTTTTTCTTGATGATATTAAAAGCCAACATTTTGTCATGGATGGAAGTATGCTGGTTTCCACTATAATAGAGAGAATTTTTATTTAAAAATTTCAATAAATAATAAAAATTTAACTTACTTTTGAGGGCCATTTAAATCTTTCGCTGCACCAGCCGCCGACAAGCCACCAACAGCCCCACCACCATTACCTGTGGAAGAATTTGTCGCTTCACTTGATGTACTGACTTTGCGACGATATTTAGCCAAAATATCTTCACTAATGTCGTAGTAACCAGTACTACGTTCTTGAGCTGTTGCTGTTGAGCAACTTGGTATATTGGCACTTATTATATCTAATGAAACCTCAGAGTTGTTGGTGGAAAATGAAACACTGCGAGAACTTTGTGAGATATCATCACAGTTGGTAGCCGTACTATGTCTAGACTTGTGTCCACGTCGATGTTTGAATATTCCCTGTTTTAGTTTATTAAATATACCAGAATTAGTTGTTAAATTATTTGAGGTGGTTGGACCATTGGCACGTAAGGGATCTTGCAGAAAACGCGATGAATTTCTATTTTGTCTAGCAGATGAAGATGTGGATGGACCATGAGCTTTATCAGCGGAGGCATCAAAGCTTATACTTTTTGGTATGGCTCCCGTAGATTTTGTGGGTTTTTGATTGCTGGAAGTGGCAGCTGTAGAAGAGCAAACCATTATACCTGATGAAGAGGAGTTTTGATTGGTGGGTGTGCTGCGCGCTGGGTCACCACTACCATTATTTTCATTATTTTCTGTTGAATCATTTAGATTTAAATCAGAAGTTCTATTGGTTAAAAGCAGTATTTCCTGTTCTTGTTGTTGGTGTTCCCTCTTGTCGTCATCTGTCTGGGGGGAAATATTTGGCAATGCCGAGATTCTTTTGGGTACAGAGTTCAACATTATTTCATGATTTTCATAATTCAAAGATTGATGTCTTCTTAGTGAAGGTGTCAAATTGGAACCAGTTTCAGAACTTTCTGGTCCTCCCTTTAAAGCCATAATGCCATTACGACGACCATCGCCTCCGGAATTTCTTTGTAAAGTAGATCTATCTCTTCGTTCTACTAAGTCATCTTGGAATATATCGAGTACTGGTGGCTCAGGAGGTGCTATAGAAGGTGGTGTCAAGTCTTTGTCGTCACAAAAATCAGAAAAATCTATAAGATCCTTGGACTCATTGCTGACATTACTTTGATGACGGCTTTTGCGGTTAGCTGCAAAAGGAGAGGGCACTTTCGCCATAGCTCCTTGTTCTTCTAGATTTACACTTTGATTTGAAATACTGCTCTCAGCAGACGCTTGCCTCCGCATACGATGCGATGAGGAGGACGAAGCGCCGGCTTGTAGAAAATTGTACTTCTCTTTTTCACTCGTTATAGATTTGTAGTTCTGTTGAAATGTGTTTTCCAATTGATTGCTAGTTCTTACCGAACTTCTAGCTAATGAAGAACCATCTCGGTAGTGATGATGATAATGGTTGTTATTTGTAACTGAAGCAGAATTGTCATCATATGAATTGATGGCATCATAAAATGCAGAATCCTCTTGTGAACGATCGCTAGCATTACCACCACTGCTACCGCCACTACCATGAACATCATCAACACTACCAGAGGAGGGTGCTTTAGCTACGGGTAGTTTATGAACTCCTTGAGCATTAGATGATGGAGATCTAAAACTACGAATATTGCGAGCTGCTGAGTAATGAGCATTATTCGATGATGATCTTTGTTGACGATTTGTAGGTGCCGATATAGCTGCTGCCAATTGATTTCTTTCCCTTTCCGAAACAGTGCCTGAATCTAGTATATCAGATCTGGCTGTAATACTCACATTGTCATCTGTATCAACTTCATTTAGTTTCTCCGAATCTGAGGCTAAGACATCAGTACTCCAATTAGATTCTGATCTCTGATCAGTAGCATCTAAATATCCGGTTCTCATGCCCCCGGCTCCTGAGAGCACATCAAAGTTATTGTCACCCGGCAATACTACTGCAGCTGGTATCAGCGGGGTGGAAAAATTTCTTTCACGTTCGCGTTCTGTTGTATCAATAGTTTCAGAATCACTGGCCAAAACATCGGTGGACCAAGTGTCCGAAATGATCGAAACCGTTTCATCACCTTCAAACTTTTTAATTTCAAATTTACAAAACTTATCCTGGATATCAGAACGAGCTTTAGAAATTAGCTTTTGCATTTGCGGAGTTGGTAAAGCATTGTTAATAGATTCGCCATCAGTCACCTGCGAGGATGGAGTATCCCTACCGCTGATATTTGGCGTACCTCTGCCCGAAACATTGGCCGATACCATATCCGACAAATTGTCATTTTCGGCATTTTCTTCCAACTCTAAAGAACTTGTTACTGAATGATTTGAGGGCACTTCACTAACAGCTTCTAAATTGTCAGAATTACCAATAGAAGCATCATCATGGGATAATGAAAACCTGGTAGTTTTATTATGCATGGGCCTCAAAATATCGGACATGCCATCAATACCATCAAAACCATTAACCACCGAGGACTTGTCTACCGTAGATTCCTGTTGATAGTTTTCAGCATCTACAAGATCACCATTGGATATATCCTGACCAATGCTATTCATTTTTAAAACCTCTTCCTCCGAAAGAGGTTGTAGCTTTTGCTCTACTCCATTGTAAAGATTAAATACTAAAACTGGTTCATTTTCTACTTCTGCAGCTAATGATCTTACTGGTGACGAATGGTGTGAACTATTGTGAGATGAAGAACTTTCCAAACCATTTAAATTTAATGCTATGTTACCATTGACAAAACCATTTACTTCATCGCTATTGTGATTACTTCCATTAGCATTTGAAAAACTCATACTTTTGGCGATTTTACTTTTAGTGGATTTGCTTAAATTTTTCAATGATTGCTTAGATTTCTCCTTGGCGGGACTCTCACTCTTGGAAGTGTTTGGATTGCCCTCTGCGGTAGTACCATTGACGGTAGGATTTTCTGGTAAATGTTTTAAAATCTTTCTCAACTTTTCCTTTTCTTCCTCTGAAATATCAAATTCATCTGTGGCAGTTAAAATTCTATAGAATTCAGTGAAATAATTTAATTCTCTTTGGGTAACCAACAAATGTGTCCTCTCAAAGTCACTTTGTTGAGCTAATATGGCCACCACATCCTCACCAGATTGTGTTAGTAGCAATAAATCTATTAACTTGGTAACATTATTGGCTTCAAATTTGGCATATAGCTCAGAAAATTTCGCATCTATTTCATCATGTTTTGCTAAAGCCAACATTTGTATTATCTGACCAATTTGTATGAGATTAAAACGTACTTGCTCTGAAATAGGAGCATCAATTATACCCATAACATCGGGACTTACAATGGCCGGACAAATAAAATGCGTAAAAACCATATCAGTAACAATTTCATTTATAACTTTATCGGAAAATTGATGAGCCTGTTTTAACTGATGACACATGGTTTGCACCAACCATCTCAAGGTGGACGGAAACAAAGACCAATTATAAAGTAAATTATCTATAAATATGTTGGCTAACTTATATAATTGATTAATGGTTTCGATGTGAAATTTATCAATATTCTCCTGGTACGAAGATGAAGTTTCGGCACCAAATCTGTTTAAAGTAATAAAGATTTTTAATAGTATTTTAAATTGTTATTATGTAGTTTCTAAATACCTTCTTATTCTTTCTTTCGTTGTAAAACTTTGCACAACCTTTTGTGGATCCACATCTAACATGGTATCCGTTTCACTTAACACACTCATTATGGGTTGAAAAAGAGCAGCTGTTAAAAATATTTTTGCCGAAAACATAGATTCATTTAGACGATGATATATACGTGCAAATGTCGATGTATTTGCTCTTAACAATCTGCGAGGATTATCACTAACAACAATTTGTATTTCTATTAGTTCTCTTAAAAGTTTTAAAACCATTTCAACATCTTTTGTGTTAATGGCATTTCCAAATAGCCCTGTACTAATGGTTTGTATAATGGAATTCATGTGAGCCGGTGTTACATCGGCCAAATTATCACCAGTTGCTAGTGATAAGGCCAATACATAAGGAGATCTATAGAGATAATTGAAGAGATCCTCATATGCAATGGCATGCTGTTTTTTTTTAACGAAAATAGAAATCATTATTATGTTAAAGTAAATATTTTAAGAGATTTTCTTTATTTTACCTCATAATCCAACACCTTTTTTGCATCAATAAATTTAACATTTGCATAATTGTTGGCACGTCGACAGCATAAAGAGGGTCCCAAGTCAGGCCGTGAAACAATCAAATCATTTAGATTCCTTCTTTGTTGAGCACATATATAAGCCAACTAAAATATATACAAAAAAATATTTACATATTAATTAGCGATATAATGATATACACCATTTCGCACCATTATTACACCAATTCCAGTTGAATTTTAAATATAATTTTCAGAAAAACATTTCAAAATGGAAATTTCTAATAAACCTATTAAGGTACATTTGAAAACATCATACATACAATTATAAATACAATTATCTATAGATAATTCTTAAATATCTAACTAATTTTAGAATTTCTGAAATAGTATAAGAATTTTCTGAAATATAATTTCAAATTTATAAAAACATATAATTGAACTAATTCTGCTAACAAAACGATAAAAAAATTTCCGTTAATTTGAAGGGAATTTATCGATTTCCCAGCAAAAAATAATTGATGTCATACTTTACAAACTACATCTTAATCACATCTTAAAATGCGATTACATATTTTTCACTTTTATAAACCAAATATTTCCTTACAAATGAAACCCCAGTTAAAAGTGAGGAAAGAGATGTGGAAAAGTCATTGCAAATAACATATTTGAAGTACATCAAGATTTGGTGAAAGAGTAGTGAAATTTACATAAGCGTGTCATTAAGAGAATGTGTTTTATTTTTGACATCCAAATATCGGATTTTTACTGCTTCTAAAAATAAAATCAGATGTAGTTCAAAGCTGCCAAAAATGAACAACATCTCTCCAATGACACGCTAATGTAAAATTCATAGGTTTTACACCCGAATTTGAAGCACTTCGGGTTACTAGTTGTGATAAAAATTCTACATCTTTTTCCACACTTTTTTTGCTGGGTTATTTTTAAAATCATATTCTGATAATGGTGTAAATAATAAAAATGCAAAATTTCAATACCCACCTTTGTTATTGATGCAGAATTCTCGGCTAAAGCTTCGGTTAATTGTGCAAAAGTTGTTTGTTCTTGCTGTATAAACAACTGTTCTTGTCGCAGAGTACGCGCTAAGTCCATAACCTCCAACAGATTTCCTTCCGTATTCGATTCCATTGTGTGATAATGGCTTTGTGTTTTTTCTTTACGTTCAGTTTGATTTAGTTACTTTTATATTTTCTTAATATATGTATGATGTGAATTGTTATTATTTGTTTTTTTCTGTTATTTTATTTCTCCGTTTAACAATTAAGATTTCAAGAATCTGTTGTAAATGATAAATGAACAAAGCACATGAAAAAATGACGATTATTATTTTGAGTTGTAACAAAAAATATTATATCTTATAAAACTGTGTGTACTTGAACTTGGGAAAGGGGTGTATTATGGTTGGTACATGTACTGAAAATACTATTATCGGACAAACAAGAAAAAAAAATAAGTATAAAAAGTAGATTAGAAGAACACTAAATAACTACAATTATGTATTATAATAATAAGAGAATTGTGCAAGGCGCTAACAAATACTTGTGACGTACTATATAGTATTTGTTTTAACATGTACTGGCTGAACTGAAAGACGTATTTAAAGGGTTTTCATTTTAGATGTATATAATTACTGTTTTTATTGTCAGGCCTTTTGATTCAGCTTATGTCTACTGGAAATTATTTTATAATAAGAATTGAGAATGAAAATTCTTGAATTTTATTGCTTTTCCAAAGTTTTTCATTTGATTTCGATTTAGAAAGTAACAATTGTCGCAATTATGTCGGAATGTTTCCTCTACACTGATTATCCAGATAATGTTTGATAGATTTTTTCGGATGCTTTAAAAAAAAAACACCCTTTACTATGTTTTCTTTAAAAGTAAAACAAAGATTATTTTCAAGTGGCACAGGTGACAGATTATCATACAGAGAAAATATGGGTTTTTCTATATTATTAAAAATAGTAATAAAAAAACAATATATAAAAAGGGAGTTATTTTATAACTTTTTCTTTTAAGAACTATCTAAAAACTATAAAGATCTTAAGATTACAATGCGTTTATAAAATGTATTATTTGCGAGAGTAATTTTCAAAATTTTTATTTTACTCCTTCGACACGAAAACAAAAGTGAATTAATCAGCTCATAATTGTGTTAGAAAAAAATCTGGAATTCTACATTAGAATCGAATTTTTGGTTGATTAGGCAGGAAACAAGCCAACAGGAACTGTCTATAGTCTGCAGCACAATATGTTGTCTGTCCTATTCACACTTCAGAATAATTGAAAATGTTAACCAATTTGTATTTCACAGTATTGTTTGTTTAGAATATATTGTTAGGTACTACACCATTTCGAATTGAATTTTAGAAGTTTCTAAATCTGAAAATTTAGAAACTTCTAGAAGCGGTATTTTCTAGTTTCAGAAATTCAGTTGGAAATTTTTAGTGTCTTATGTAAAATGATTTTTCAAAGGTTTATAGAATAAATTTTGCAAGAGAAAATTAAATAATGCAATTGAAAATTTCTATAGTATAAGTACAGTCCTGTCACAGAACTCTATTCTGATCAAAAATGGATATATTCTTAAAAATACTTATATAGTTTAAGGTTTCATAAAAAATATATATTTATCGCATTTCACTCTTAAAATTTATTTAGAAATTTCCAAAATATGAATGAAAAGGTCTGAAATTCATTTGGTAATGGTGTAATTTTGACTAAAATGTTAGTTGAATTGTAACGTTTGTTAAATGTATTTATATATTTGTTTTAGCTAGTTGTTGTTGCTGTCGCTGATTATGTGTTTTTCTAGCTAATTTATCATTACTAAACAAATAAAGAGTTAATGCTTCAAAAAAATGTGTTTTATTTTAGTATTTATTTCAATTAGTGAAAATATATGTATGTAAAGTAACGTTCGTTGAATTGTGTTCACTTAAAAAAGTTTGAATGTTAGATTAGTATGAAAATCTGTTTTATAAACCCTTGATAAATGTTTATGAATAAGAAACATTTATTTTTTACAAAACAAAGGCCCTACAGTATGTATGTTGGTCAAGAACGTAAAAATTCTTTCTATATCCCAGCAAAAAAAGTGTGGAAAAAGATGTAGAATTTTCATCACAACTAGTAACCCGAAGTGATTCAAATTCAGGTGAAAAACCTATGAATTTTACATTAGCGTGTCATTGGAGGGATGTTGTTCATTTTTGACAACTTTGAACTACATCTAATCTTGTCTTTAGAAGCTGTAAAAATCCGATATTTGTATGTCAAAAAGAAACCACATTCTTTCAATGAAACGCTTATGTAAATTTCATTGGTTTTTCATCAAAATTTGAAGTACTTCGAATATGTTGTTTGTAGTGACTTTTCTACAACTCTTTTCTCATTTTTAACTGTTTTTTAATTTGTAAGTATATGTTTGGTTTATAAAAGCGAAAAGTATGCAATCGCATTTTTAGATGTGATTAAGATGTCGTTTGTAAAGTATGACATCAATTATTTTTTGCTGGGTAAATTTCACTACTCTTTCACCAAATCTTGATGTACTTCAAATATGTTATTTGTAATGACTTTTCCACATCTCTTTCCTCACTTTTAACTGGGGTTTCATTTGTAAGGAAATATTTGGTTTATAAAAGTGAAAAATATGTGATCGCATTTTAAGATGTGATTAAGATGTAGTTTGTAAAGTATGACATCAATTATTTTTTGCTGGGATATAATAAACGATCAGAAAAATTTGATGTACATACATATGTTGTATACTCACATCAATAATTTCTAAATCGTATAAGAGATTGTACATTTAAGTATGTACTTGGGAAAATTTCATTTAAAATTTAATAATGCATCATGTCACTTTAAATGATGTGAAATTATTTTATTTGAATTATTGCTTACTTATACTATTAAAAACGTATTATAATTTGTTTTTATTTTTGTGTATATAAATTTTAATTATTGTATATAATATTTGTCTTATCAAGGTTCAAAAACCTCTATTACAGAAATTTATTTATATTTTGTGTAATATTATTGTATGTATCTGTTTTGATGCTAAAATAATTGTTTATTTCAAATGTAAACAGTTAGCACTAGAAAACACAATTGTTATTTGGAAAAAAATCTGTGTTATGTACTAGTTTTCCATAGAAGTTAAGGTAATTTCATGGTTCGTGTAATGTTAGGAATTTTAGTACTTAAACAAAAAAAAACATATTAAAAAAAATTATGACGAAATATATGAAAATATGAAAGGGCTTTTTAACTATTGAAAAAAGTAATAATGCTAACATGCAAAAACTATTACAAAAGTGTTTCATCAGTTGTAAAAACTATTTTTATCTACTTCATAAGTAACTTTTACAAAAATAAAAAATATTAAAATGTAACTTTAATTAATAATTCTAAAAATTTGTGTTTGCACTAAGTACCCTAAAATATCAGTCATAATATTAAGCCCTTTTATCTAATTTAAACTTTTTATAAAAACATCAATTATTTTCGATTTGAGAAAATTTTTGTTTTTACGTTTGTTTGTTTAATAAATATTTAGCTTAAACTTAAGAAATATATTAAACAATAAAATGAGGTAAAACTTTATTCGAATCTAGTTTTTTTAGGTTTTGATCTTAATAAAACAAATGAGTGATATAAATTATTTTTAAACCAAATTTAATAAGTAATTTACTTTAGTTTTTTCTTATTTTAATTTAGACAAAAAATTGTATATTTCAAAACCGCAGTATATAGTTTACATTCATAAAATATTTTTATAAATAGGATCTTCGATCCGGAAAGACTTGAGTCATACTTAACTCTACAACAATGAATGTCTCTCTCGTCAATATTAAAACTGTTAAACAAGATTTCAATAACAATTGCAAAAATAACTTGTTAGTGACACCTTTTCATATTTGCAGATACATATGTGTGTATTAAGAAGCTAAGTAAATATTCAAATGAATATTTAAGTATTTAAAACCATCACATAGGTCTGTTAACTTGTCCAAATTGTGTAAACCGGGAAGAAATATTAGTCATTAAATCTATAACAAATATTTTCTTAGAATTAAAAATAATTGAAATGTGCATTATTAATAATATTTGTATTTTAATAAAATAACATGTTCATGGCGGACAGTACTGACAATAATAATAGGAACAATGGCTTTCTTTTGTAGTAGGAATTTATGAAAGTTATTTGTGTAAAACTAAAACAATAGCAAATTTAAAAAATATACTTCTAATTTCAAATATCAGGATACTCAGTGTAAATAAGAGAAATGTCGACTAATTTCAAAAATTTAACAGATTTCATTTAAAATGATTTTTAAACTTGTATATTTTATTTATTTCTAAAATTCCAGGGGGCCATAAAGGTTGATTTTGTTGTTTTTTTTTACTTTTTCTTTAAGTTTAATTAAATTTTCAAATTATGTTGTGCCGGGAGAAAGCACTACACTACATACATATATTATTAATCATTTTTTATTAAAACAAAACATTATAATTTTAAGTTTTCTTTATGTCAGATCTGTTGTAACTTCTATATGTACGAATATTTAAAAGACTCAAAAAAAATTAACTTATTTTTTTTCAGCACTGTAGATAATACATATTAACATTTACACCCCTTAATTCAATTGGTATTTTGCTGAAATAATAAAAATGGTTTTTCAAAAATTTTGGCAATAATTGACATTGTTTTGGATTGGCGAAAAAAAGACGCTAAACTATTTAATTAAAATTAGACACATTTTAAAGTAAATAAATTTAAATAAAAATTAATGATGTGTAAAAGGTATTTACATATTGCAGTCTGTTTAGGCGAATTATGTTTTCACTTTTACATATGAAAAACAGATTACATAAGCTGACAAATATACATATCTCGAAGAAGGGAGAAGATACAATCTGTCAGCAGATTGGACTTTCAGATACAATATCTCGAAAACTTGATTTGATGATGAGACGTAAATTGTGAAAGTAAGCAACCAATATTATAATTTCTAAACTAGAACTGAACAAGAACTGAACTAGAACTAAACTAGAACTACACTATAACAGATCTACAACAGAACTAGAATAGATCTAGAACTGAACTAGAACTAAACTAGAACTACACTATAACAGATCTACAACAGAACTAGAATAGATCTAGAACAGAACTAGAACAGAACTAGAATAGAACTAGAACAGAGCTAGAACAGAACTAGAACAGAACTAGATCAGAACTAGAACAGAACTAGATCAGAACTAGAACAGAACTAGAACAGAAATAGATCAGAAATATAAAAGAACGAGAACAGTACTAGAACAGAACTAGAACCGAACTAAACTAGAACTTAACAAGACTGAACAAAAACGAAAATTACACTCAACTACAGCAATAAATTTACAATTAATTTCTTTAATTTCGATATGTTACACAAACTCAACAATAAACTAAACTTACGTACTGCTGTATATAGGGTACACAGATTATTTAATAATGAAATACATAATGATGAAAAGAGAAGCAAAAATAAAAACAAACAAACACAATCAACCACTTAAGTGTATACGAATACAGAAATGATTTAAATCAAAGTGGGATGGATGGATGCATTTCCCGTCAATCACATTTGAGACACAGGCACAACAGACAAAATTAAATTTATTTGTTAAATTGCAAATACACTAAAGTAGTGTATATTTTTTTATTTTATTTAGTAAAATGTCCAAATTGTTTTTGTTTAAATAATATATATCACCAAACAAACAACAATGAAAACACATTAATGGAATTAGCTGAGTTTGTGTGTCTTATTGAGTGGCTGATGATACATAACGCAGGAAAGGGGGAATAAAGAAAAAATGATGAATGGATTTTCAGGAATTTACAGGAAGTTAATTGTTTTTATTTATTTTATTTTGTTCAAAATTTAGAGAAATCTTTAATTGTTTGTCATAATTATATGAAAAATTTCACTTTTTATAATTATTTTTTTGTGTTATACAGAGGAGCGCTAGCGCTCCATTGTCTACATTTTTTTTGGTGTATATAATTTGTTGTTTTTTATTAATTAATTTGTAGCACTTTTTCAAGTTTTTTGTTATAACATTTTTTCTTTTATTTGATTTACGTACTTTTCAATTTTATTTGTTAATTTCTTTTATTGTAACACTTTTTCGGGGTAATTTATTCACATTTTATAAAAAACTAAACTTGTTTTTTCACTTTATTTTGCAATATTTTCAAGAGATCTGTGCGACAGAGCCCTGCGCCTACAAATATTAACGGCGGCGGCGACTGATACTAAAAATGTCGGCGGCGGCATAAAATCGACTGTAAGCCGGCTAAGTTTTCAACTACTTCAGTTTTTAAATTTTCAACGATTTTAAATAAAAACGTAATCAGAAAGATCAAAAAGTGGAATTTTGAAAGCAAATATATTGTTTATAACAACAAAACAGAGTATGCACAAAAGTTGTGTGAGAAATTATGCAGGGATGGATAAAAAATTCTTAAAAATTAAAATCAAATCCTTACACCAAGTTTTATGAGTATCGGCCTATATTTGACCCTATCCCCCATATAAAACATCTCGCTGAAAATCAGTTTCTAAAAAATATTGCATTAAGAAAATGATCAATAACGTAACAACATGGATATTTTATGTATTTATTTATTTATCAATTTAAGTAAAATAATATTACATAGTCCTGTTCATGATAAAAATATGAAATTTTTACCACGATATAAACTGAGAGCAAAAAATATTTTTTTTCTTGTGTCTCAGACCAAAGTAAATTAATAAAGTAGTGACACGAGTCAAAAATAATTTGTTTACAAAAATTAACCAATAATTAATGGAAAATATGGCATTATTGTTGTACTTTCCAAAAATATGTTGTTATTTATATTAAAAGTCACAGAGTTTTCTTTATTTTTTGAAATTAGGACATTTTAAAAAATATTATACACTTAAAATACACTTTTTCACATTAAATACAACAAATTACTCAGAAATTTGTACAAAAGCAAGCGTTAAAATGAAAACAAATATGGCAACATAAACATTTTTGACAAGTAAGTCCACAAATAGCAAGTTTAAAAAAAATAGTCAGCTGTTCAAATGAGTCTACTTTATATATTTACTTTGTCTCAGACAAGGCAAAACGGAATGTCATAATTTGTCATTTAAAAAGTAATGTCAAGTTTTTGAAATATGACAAGAAATTTATCGTTTAAATATCATCCCTATGCAATATTATAAAACAGCTGTGTAACAAAAAGACGCGTTATCGTTGAATTAGTTTCTCTGGAGAAATTTTTAGAAAATTTGTAGAACACTGCTTTAAAAGATTAAAAACAAACTTAATTTATTAAAAAATCCTTAAAATGCCAAAAGTAAGAAGATCTCGTAAGCCGCCACCAGATGGTTGGGAATTAATAGAACCTACTTTGGAAGAATTGGAACAGAAAATGCGTGAAGGTAGGTAAACAATTGTATAAAGCATATGTATGCATTGTAAATAATTACATTGTATTTTAGCCGAAACTGAACCACATGAAGGTAAACGTATTACGGAATCTTTGTGGCCCATTTTCAAAATTCACCATCAAAAGTCTCGCTACATTTACGATTTATTCTATCGACGCAAGGCCATTAGTCGTGAACTGTATGACTATTGCCTAAAGGAGAAAATTGCCGATGCCAATCTCATTGCCAAATGGAAGAAATCTGGTTATGAAAATCTCTGCTGTCTTCGCTGCATACAGACGAGAGATACAAATTTTGGTACAAATTGCATTTGTCGTGTACCCAAATCGAAGCTGGAAGAAGGTCGCATTGTGGAATGTGTTCATTGTGGTTGTAGAGGTTGCTCTGGTTAAACAACAAATGTGAATTCAGTGACCAATAAAGCTGTATCAGGATGTTTTTTTAATAGTAGTCCGTAGCGCGTAGGCTATTTAGCATTTAGTTAATAAAATTTTCCACAATTTCTTATTACATATACAGAGATAATAAATAAAAGATAATTTTAAATAAAGTATGTAATTTAAATACAAACAAGTGTTATTTATGTTAGATTCGATCGATCCGGAAAAATGTGTGAATGTATACCTATAACATATTTATTTATTCAAATCAATATTCGTGTTAAATGGTTGTTTGTTAATTATGTTCGTTTAATTGATTTTCTGAAGTGGATCTTATATGGAAACTATGGTCAAGTATAGACTTATCCAGGTTTAAGTTTCTATTAAAATTAGATTTATATTTGCAAAATTTTGTGGTTATACTGTTGTTGTATAGGGAGTTATTAACAATAAATTCGTTTTTCAGGAGTATGTAAATTTGTATGGGAGCTAGTAGCTATATACAAAATTAAACTGATTCAATTAATTTTTAACAAAGTAAAATCCTATTCGAAAGAAAAGACTAGCTGCAAAATTTATTGAAATGACTTATAGTTTCTGAAAAAATAATCAAGAATTAGAAAAAAACCTAAAATATTCATGGATTGTTTCGGAATTTTGCTCATATCTCCAGTATTTATAGATAGATTTTAAAAAGGAAACTTCTCGAAAAACATTTTTCTCTAGAAAGGTATGTGTATAACAGTTACTTTTTGTATCAAATTTTGCCTATGATAGTATTTTCTATATCGAATTTTGTGTTAGATATTATTTCTTTGGAAAGTTTTCTGTACAACAATTTTTAAAAAAAAAATTCCTACACCTTGATGTTATAAGGCAATGGGCCATGGTATAAAATTGTATATAAGTTATTTTTGCTCTCGACTGTAAAAGTAAGTGTTACTCCATAAACGGGTTGGCAATACTTAAAAATATTGTTTATATTATCGAAACCATACAAACTTATCGACTAATGTCAAAAGCAAATTGTGACATCACTATTAAAAAAAATATAAGCGGCTGTAAACATTGAAATCGTGAAAAATTATTTTCAATTAGAAAACGCCAAAAATTAAATAAAAATACAATTATGAAACAACGATGTCGTTGTTGTTTGATAACAAATTCCAATGCCTACTATGATATATTCGAACAACATATATCGGGAACGTCCTATGCTGAGAACATATGCTTTTTAGCTGAAGTACAAATTGATCACGACGATGGTTTACCCCAAGTGATATGTTCCAATTGTTACAATGAAGTCCAACGTATCTATGAGTTTAGCTTGAATGTACGTCTAGCCGATGATAGGTTGAGGCAAGAATTAGAAGGCGCTAAAAATCAAATGGTTGTGGAAGAGGAGGAGGAGGAACCAATGGAAAATGTTCAGGTGCTAGAAAATGAATATTTTTCTTCCGTAGATGAGAATGGCATGCAGGTGTGTGTTATGGAAGAAATATTGGAACAGGAAAATGAACAGGATAATGTGCTTATAGTAGAGGTGTGTAATAATTTGTTTTTTTATTTGCAAAATGATTTTTTTATTAAATTTTTAATTTATGTAGGAAATTAATGATGTGGATGAAATGCATATGGTAGAAGAAATCTTAGAAGCAAAAGAGCAGGAAACAAATGAACAGTATACATACCAGCAAAAGGAAAACTTATTAGTGGGACTAGCTCAAGTAGCGGCCACTCAGGAAAATGTTAATATTACTGATGAAAATGATGAAGACTATCTAATAGAATATGACCCCAATGAAGTAAATAATTTTGTTCCTACGAAGTGGAAATGTGGGGAATGTAAAGTCATTTTACGAGGCGATGTATCTTATGAGGGTCATATGAATATACACAGACAAATACGGCCACACAAGTGCAACGAATGTCAGTCGGAGTACAGATGTCGTACGGCCCTTAAACGGCATAAAGAACTTAGACACACGCTGACCTTGAAAAATGACAATGCCGCTAAAATAACTCGGCAATGTCTGTTGTGTGATAAACAATTTTATACGGAAATTATTTTTCATCTGCATCAAGCCATTGTCCATGATGAGGGTAATAAATGTCCTTTGCGATGTAATCACACAAATATAGGAAATATAAGGGAACATTTAGAGAGCATACATGAAAAAGAATTAAATGTAGCTGGATATAATGAAACCACCCACCACATATTACAATGCTTTAGATGCTGTAAAACTTTTGAAAATATCGCTGAGTTAGAGAATCATGCCAATTTGTGCCGAAATATGCTAGAATCATTGCATTTACAAAATGAGCCATCGATGATGGAAAATAAAAATAATATAAAAATCGTAAAAGTTGAAGAAGATTCTGATGTTTCAGTACAATGTAATATTTGTCGCAAGAAATTACTTAAGAAAAACTTGAATAAACATATGGAACTTCATAAACGAAAGGAGGAAGAAAACAAAGTTCTGAATGATACGAAACCATATCTGTGTGCCTTTTGTCGTAAGTATTTTAGTAGTTAATTAGGTTTAAGAACATACATATGTATATTAAATGAGTAGGAGGTAAAATTTGGTACTATCGTACATTTCGGCTATTCGGAATCGCGTTTTTTTGGTCAAATTATCATTCAAATAATAATTTGCTATTTCGTATTTTATTTTTGAAAAATGTTGATATTTTTTTTTTTTTTTTTTTTGAAAACTATCGATAAATTTTATTTTTTTAGATAAATTGTCTATTTTTAATTTTTTATGAAATTTTCCATAAAATTTTTTATTTTTATAAAATTTTCAATAAATTTAAAATTTTTTGGAAATTTTCGTTAAATTGTTAATTTGTAGGTAATTTTCGAAACAATTTCTGTTTTTAAGAAAATTTCGATAATTTTTTTTTTGATAAATTTTCTATTTTTTGAACATTTTCGCTAAATATTATTTGTAAAGAATATTTTCGATAAATTTTATTTTTTAAAAATTTTCGATAATTTTTTTTTAGAAAATGTTCAATAATTTTTTTTAATTTTCGATAAATTTTCGAAACATTCGTTATTTAAAAAAATAGATAAATTATTCTTTTTAGAAAATTTTAAATTTTTACAAATTTTAGGATACATTTTTTATAAATTCCCGATATATAAAAAAACATCGAAACATCTCTATGTAGAGAAAAATTGCGTTTTTAGAAATCCTAAAATTTCAAATCTATTGCCACCATATCTTTTCAAATCCATACAGAGTATTTTATTAAAAAGTTAAAAGTGAAAGTTTTGTTAAACATAATGAAACAAAGACAAAATAAAACAAATATCTAATGTATATATACCACTTCATCACACATAGCACGCGAGTTTAAAAGTTCCAAATATTTACATCAGCACGAAAAAGCCCACCATGCCGAAAGCGCGGATGTAATATACGTCTGCGCGGATTGTGAGCGTCAATATGCTACACAATATCTACTGGAAACACATCGTAAACAGGCGCACAAAGAACGTGATAATGTCTGCAATATTTGTGGCAATGCCTTCAAACTAAGAAACCAATTAGTTAATCATATGAAACTGCATTTGGAAAAGAATATACCCTGCCCGCATTGTGATAAGAAATATGCTCGGCAATTTGATTTAAATGTACACCTAAGATCACATACCGGTGAACAGCCTTACGCCTGTCATTTGTGTGACAAACGTTTTGCCATTAAAGTGCGTCTCACCTATCATCTGCAAAAACACTATGGCATCAAGCATTATTGTAAGGAATGTGGTGCTGAGTTTAATTCGAAACAAAAATTAAAAGCTCACTCGTTTAAACATACCGGTATGCCGTATCGTTGTCAGCTGTGTGATGATCATGGTTTTGCTACCCGCAATACGTAAGTACATTTCTCTTCTTGTTTATATTTTAAAGGAAAATAATTCATTCTAAAACATTTTTTTTAGTTTCAAACGTCATTTAACTCGTGTCCATCATGCCTCTATATCAGAGGAAGCACTTAATGAAATGTTTCAGAAAAACACTGGCAAAACTGTTAATATTAAACAGGTCGATGAACAAAATCTTGTGGTGAGCGCCAGCGATGAAGACAACCAAGATGTGATCGAAGTACTGGGGAAATAGGCCTCTTTTTAGAATTATTTTAAACACAAATTTATTAAAAATGTTATTTTAATTTAAAATTAAGTAAGAATTTATAATAATATTGTAATTATTTAAATAAAAAACAAAAAAGTGAAATTATTAAGTAATAATTATTTGTCTTTAAGATACTTAAATATTTTTGGTTTATAAAAAAAATTCAGTTATCTGTTTGTTCCCCAGATTATGCATTTGAAACAAAAGATGATTTTGAAGAACATTGTTCAACGGAATGCAAATCAATGCTTAACAACTGCTCTGAATCGCAAGAAGACATTAACCTACCCACCATACATTCACAGGATAGTGAAATGAAAGTTCATTCGCCAGAAAACTTTGACCAACCCACTAAACATTCTCGGGAGAATGAAAAGAAAGTTGATTCGCAAGAAAACTTTAAACAATCCACCAAACCTTCACAGGGTAATAAAAACAAAGTTCATTCGCAAGAAAACTTTAAACATTTACGGGATAGGGGAAAGAATGTTCATTCGCAAGAAAACTTCACTCACCCCACCGAATGTGCGGTGAAAAAGGATAGTGAAAAGATTGTTCCTTCCAAAAAATCTAATTGCATTTGTTATGAGTGTGGTAATACGTTTAGTGGCCGTGTGCAATTATCTGCCCATAAAAGATTACACAAAGAACGACCCTTTAAATGTGATCAATGTGATAAGGCCTATCCCCGACAAGTAGAACTTGTTATACATATGCGCAGCCATACAGGAGAACAGCCCTATGCCTGTCATTTATGTGACAAACGTTTCGCCATTAAAGTTCGACTGACTTATCACTTGCAAAAACATGAGGGTATTACGCATGCCTGCAGCTATTGTTCGGCGGTTTATGATAATCGTAATAAGCTTAAAGCGCATCTATTCAAACATACTGGAATGCCTTATAAATGTGAATATTGTCCGGAACTGGGGTTTGATAGGAGAATAAGGTTAGTATTTAGAGGAATTCCTAAGCAGAATGATAAGTGATGTTGAAATCATTTTTTATTAAAGGTTTGCCAATCATATGATACGAGTACATCAGAAATTTCTTACCCAAGAAGAATTGGCAGAAATTTTTGCTAAGAATACGGGAAAAACTGTCCACTTTAAGAATCCAACAAGCTAAGGAAGCAAAAGAAAACGTAATCTGAGTAGTTTTCTATAATAAAGTTTGGTTATAAAAAAAAATATTTTAGTTTTAATACAAATTAAATTGTGATAAAAAAATGTTTGATACATTTTCTTTTAAATATAGAAAATTTTCGATTATTTCTAGAATATTTACGATAAATTTTATTTTTTGAAAATTCTAGATAAATTTTCTTTTATAATAGAAATTTTTCTATAAATTTTATATTTTTAGAATTTTTTCAATAACTTTATCAAACATTTTCTATTTTTAGAAATAACTCTATTTTTATGGAAAAATTTCTGAACATTCCCTTTTTGTAGAAAATATTCTAACATTTTTTTTATAAAAATAAATTCAAAAAATAGTAGTTTATTAATAAAAATAAAATAAAAAAATATTAAATTCATATTTTTTAACATTCAACAGAACACAACTCTACATAATCCCATCTCGGAGCGACATCTATATGTCAAAAACCCACTCTTTGTGTTATCATTCTAGTCGTACAACTACTAACAACAAGAAAAAGAAGAAGCGGCATTGCATATTTTTTGAGAAATTTTGTTTTGAAAGTGACACGAAGACAATTGTTATTTTGTGTTTTATAAATTTTCTAAAAATTTACAAAGAAAAATGTCTGCAATTGAACAATTACAAGCGAAAATTGCTGAATTGAAACAAGAACTAGAACAGCAACGTCATGAAAGTCAGGCAGCTAGACAACGCATTGAAAAAATGTCTGCAGAAGTTGTGGACTCAAATCCCTACAGTCGTCTAATGGCCCTACAGCGTATGGGAATTGTTAAGGAATATGAACGTATACGTGACAAGGCGGTGGCCGTAGTGGGTGTTGGAGGTGTGGGCAGTGTGACCGCCGATATGTTGACACGTTGTGGTGTAGGCAAATTGATTTTGTTTGACTACGACAAAGTCGAGTTGGCCAATATGAATCGTTTGTTCTTTACACCTGATCAAGCTGGTCTGTCTAAGGTAGAAGCAGCCGCGAAAACATTAACATTCATCAATCCCGATGTAACGATAGAAACACATAATTATAATATTACCACCGTGGAGTCATTTGATAAATTTTTGGATACTATTGCGCATGGTGGTCTGCAAAAGGGACAACCTGTTGATTTGGTTTTAAGTTGTGTGGATAATTTCGAGGCTCGCATGGCGATAAATACAGCATGTAATGAATTGGCTTTAAATTGGTTTGAATCAGGTGTTTCCGAAAATGCTGTATCGGGCCACATACAATTTATCAGACCAGGAGAGACAGCCTGTTTTGCCTGTGCTCCCCCTCTGGTGGTGGCGGAAAATATTGATGAACGTACCTTAAAGAGGGAAGGTGTATGTGCCGCTTCTTTACCCACCACCATGGGTATTACGGCCGGCATGTTGGTGCAAAATACTTTAAAATATCTTTTGAACTTTGGTGAAGTGTCCGATTATTTGGGCTACAATGCCATGAATGATTTCTTCCCTAAAATGACTCTAAAACCCAATACTCAATGTGATGATCGCCATTGCCAGGCTAGACAAAAAGAATTCCAAGCTAAACCTAAAGCCGCTGTTGTGGAGGAGCAAGTTGAAGATGAACAACCTTTACATGATGATAATGAATGGGGTATTGAGTTGGTGGATGATTCTCAGCCTCCAGAAGCGGCTGTAAAATCGGAGGAAGCATCAGTTAGTTCAGGTTTGCGTTTGGCTTATGAAGCTCCTGATAAGGAAGTGACCAGTGATACTAATACCGTTTCCGCAGCAGCCGATGTGAACTTGGATGATTTAATGGCTCAGATGAAATCTATGTGAGAGTGTGTCATACGTACAAACAGTTTGTTATTCCAATTTGTGTTTATTTTTTATTGCAATTTGAAATTTTCTATTCCATATTGTAAAGATTTATTTTGTTTTGTATTTATTTTTGTGCAATTATAAGTATTTTTGTGGCTTTTTACAAAAAATTTATGAAAATTTAATAAGAGAAAGATTAAGGAAATAAAAAAACATTAAAATAAAAATGAATCAATATGAATTTTATTTTTTTTTTAATAAATATTCGAAAAATTTTAATAAAAATTTAAAAAAATTAATTCCTTCCATATACAAAGTGTTTTTTAGTTTAATTTAGTACTAATTACTTCAATATAACTTAATTATTTATATTAAAACCATTTCATACACAAAAATTATTTTCAAAATATTTAGTATGAAACCTTATTAATCAATATCCTTTAATAAAATGTTTAAATATGTCTTTCAAATTTAAATTTTACTGTTACAATCCTTTGACAGTTCTTCCCATCTCCATATCATCATAAAATGCAACTCTGCTTCTTATAAGATTTACCATCGCTAACATTTAGTTTATTGTCAATTGTCAAATAGTTAAAACGCAACAGAAAGGACGCTCCGAATTTTAATAAAAAAATGTGGTAAAACAGAAGTGTAGTGTTTTAAAAATATGTTCAAAATATAGCATAATTGCTAAATAATCTCAATAAAGTGAAGGAATGTGAAATTTTAATAGTTAAATAGTGAAAAAATTCGTCACAAATAACTAACGGGACTTTGTCTTAATTGTGTGTATGTGTGTCCTGTCATTTTCTTAATGTTGTGTTAGAGATGTGTTTTTAGTGTACACTGTTTTATCACGTCAATAGTCGATTAAAAGGGTAATAATGTTCACAAAATATAAAGTTGATAACAGAGTGCAACATATAATCGAAAGGAACTAAAAGTCGGTAAATGTGTTAATTTAAAATAGAAAAGAGGAAATTAGTGAAGGTATAACTTTCGCGGTTCAAAATTTGAATGAATGTCGCTAAATTGATTGTCAGGATATGGAAATAAGAGCATTAGTGAATGTATTATTGTGTAATTTTAGATTTGAACTACAAAAAGCATTTCTGATTAAACAAAAAACAAATCACGATTGTAACTTAAAGCGCTGTTTTAAAGGTAAGTCTTTTTTGTTAATTTTTTTAATTTAATTTTTTTATAAAACAAATTACATACTTATTTTTGCTTCAATTAAAAGAACGCATATTTTGTGTGATTAGTGTAGGATTTTTTTAAATTGTGTAGTTGTTTTGATGGGTTTGACAGCCCTTAGCCGATAAATTCGGGTCATTCCGGTACGTAGAACAGGCTGTTGGGTTTTTAAATACACATAGATAGCTTAATTTTATGTTAATTTATGTATTTGTATTACAGGTCATGGTTGGCCATGATCTGTACGTTCTTGCTACTTCTTTTCATTAGGAAAATGTCTCTAGGAGTAAAATTAAAGTTATGTATCTGAAAAATTTTAATTTTATAGAGAACTAATTCAAAATATTTCCGTTATTTTCAAATATCAGTATTTAGCAGAAATTTTTATTATGTATGTATTTTTTTTTAAGTGTCCTCCATAATTGAAGTGGATAGTAGAGTGTAAAATGAAATCGAAATTAGTCAAAAAATAGCATCGATTATTATCGAGTAATATAATAGAAGTTTCTAATAACTGGTTTCTATACCTCGATAATTGAAGTTGATAATAGTGTGCATATCAAAAATCAGAGATAAAACTGTTTTTCGGTTTGAGTCTTTACTTAATCTGTAATATCTTAGAGTGGGTTTTTGAGTTGTCAATCCAATGCCAATTAATAATCAGATTAGTTAATCTAAATATAAGTTTAATCTGATGTAATCCCACTTGATGTTTTTGAGTACAAGATTAAAGGATCGTTTACCCAAAGATTGGTCCTTAAAGTTTTGGTATCGTTCATTTTAAAGTTAAAATAATATGATTGATGTACCTATTTTGTAATCTATGCATCATAAATACTTCTAAATCAACTTTAATTCCAGTTACAACAAGTGTTTTTCTTTATTAGACATTTATACACTAATATACATAGTTACATACGTATTTATAAAACTTAAATTAAAACAATGAAATTTCTATAATTTTTCCCCCAAAAAAATCAATTCTTAAATAAATGCAGAAACATAAAATTATAAAAAAATATTGCAATATGTTACATTTAATAAAATATTACAAAATTAAGTAGAAAAAAATACATAAAATATAATAAAATCTTGAAATTGTTGTGAAATATAGACAGAAAACAATAAAATAAAAATTATTAAACAGTGGAACTAGATGAAGTAGTATTAGACAAATTGGTGGTGGTGTTAGGTCGGCGAGGCTGTAAACGTATACGAAAGCCTTCTTCCCGTTTTAAAATAATATCGGCCTGTAATTTGAAATCCTCCTCAGTCATATCCGAATAGACACGATAGTTGCGTAAAATGGTCGATAAAAGTATTTTCAATTTTAACATGGCATATTTACGACCTGAAAATTTAAATTAATTTAATTTTTTGTTTTCTTCTATATTCATTTTGCCATTACTACTTACCCACACAACTTCTGGGTCCAGCTGAAAATGGTACAAAGGCATAATAATGACGATTGGCTTGACGTTCGGGTAAAAAGTTATCGGGATTAAAAACATTGGGATTTTCATAGACCAAAGGATTGCGATGTAATTTAATAGTGGCCACTGTTATAGTGGCTCCCTTGGGTATAACATAATTATTTGAAACCAATTTTAAATCCTCCTGCAATTCTCGGGCTATAAGTGGTACTGGTGGATACATTCTTAGGGTTTCCATTAAACATCTTTCTAAATATTTCATTTCTAGAGTATCTTGGAATGTACAAGATCTATCAGAACCCTGGAATATTTCATCCAATTCAGCTATAACTCTATCTTGTATATGCTGATGTATACCCATAAGCGATAAGAAGAATGATGAGCCAGCTGCTGTGGTATCATGACCTTCAAACATTATCGTATCTACTTGTTCTTTGATTTCGGTATCTGTTATGGCGGCACCATTTTGAGCACTCTCCAATAGTAAGTCCAAAAATGCCAATCTTTTCTTTTCGCCCACATCGTTATCTTCCACATCCAAGTCATCTTTTAAACCCTCAGCTTGACCAAATGATAAACCCTCAACAGAAGTAACTTTTTCGTTTTTACCATTAACACCATTTGATTTGAGACTTTCCGTTATCAATTCACCATCTTTAGTCCATTCGTATTGGGCTAGGGAACCTCTGGTGCCTTTGGTGAAGGCTTCTTTTTTATTTTTGATGACTTTTTTCGTAAGACCATGTATAATATTTAATAGTTTTCCTTGATCCTGATAGTATCTGGTAAGTGTGAAGAGAAATTCACTTCTTAAAAAGAGACTACGATGTCTCATGTGCAGAATATCGCACATTTTCATTACAGCCAAGGCGTATTCATAACCGGATTTATCTTGAGTTTTTCGCGAAACTCCCATGGCAGTTTCTGGAAAAAAGATTAAAAAGTATGTAAATAGTTGTTAGCATAATCATATAAAGCTTGATTAGTCAGGGATACTTTCTAAATATCAAAGTCCAACGTAATTTAGTCAAATTTTGTAATAACTAAACTTAGACAATGTTTCTATAACACGCAAAATAAAAATCCATTTCTCTGCCTTTAGTCTAGTGTAAATGAACTGTACAAAATTGTTAATAATTAAATTTTGAAAGTTTACACATTTTTCATGTTTTCCAAAACTTTGGAAACTATTCATGTGTATTTCTTGACTAATGATTGGCAATCCGTTGTTGTGTTTTTTCTCTCTTCATTTTCCTTAATACACAATTGATAAGTTTCTTCAACTTAAAACTTGCATCACAGTGACACGTAATAAATGGAAAGAGTATGATGTCTATATACTTTGTTTTGCATTTGAATGGAAATTTATTATAGATACTTTTGGATTTGTAAAAATGCAGGCCAGGCCGGCTAATGTTCGTATAATAAATTAAATTTAGTTAAAGTAAAGGAGTAATAGATAATGAAAGAAATATATTCAAATATAGTGGTGATCTTTTATAACGCTATGAGGATACAACAAGCAATGATTAAAATTGTTCAATTTCATAGAAATTGATCCAACGATCATTTTGGAACATAAGAGTCGATTAACGACCACTTTGTTAAACGATTAGGTATGACCCTGCATTGATCGAAAGACGAACAACTTTTTAATTCAATTATGATAGGTCTAATTAAACTTCTATAATATTTTTGAAAAATATATATTGGAATGAATTAACTTTAATAGAATCAAAAAGGGTAGAGTTTAATACATGTACTTCATTCTTTCTGCGCAATACAAGTTGAATCTTGATTTGAGAGTTCTCAAAAGATTCTTGTATTTGTAGAAATCATTGAATTCCATTTCAAAAAGAACTAATGAAGTTTGAGAAACTTTTTTCACCTCATTTATTAAGATTAGAGACTTCGGGCTTTCGTTAGGCATATCGAAAAAATCGAGTTGTTCAAAGATTGATAGATTGGTTGACTTTTCTATATTTAGTCGTCGAAGAAGTATACTAACTCACATTGCTGTGAAGGACTGAATTAGAAGAAATCTACTTCGGAAGCAGCAAATAACATTATAAAATTTTACTTGGTACTTTGGATTTACAAAAGTAATATCTACTAAAGGCGGCACTGGAACAGAAACGTAAACAAAGGCAATAGATTTATCACTATAAATGAGTGTTTCAATAAACTAAGCAATCAAGATACCGAACCTTTATCAGGACTCTGTCCGAGCTTAAAAGTCGAAAACAGCTGTTAAAATTTAAACCTTCTGGTAGCCCAGATGAGAATCTCCTAGATATTTTAATTGTTGTCTGTTTTAAAGATATTAGTCTCCAAAGGAGAGAGGGAGCAGTTATCTGGACATTGATCGTGGCAGATCGTGTCAGATTTTCCCCATTTATAAAAATCGAGAACAGAAGAGTCGACTATCACAAGAAAACAATGATATCTTTTTAAAGGAAATACCAGAAAATAAATCATTAGAGATCCGACTTCTGTTTAGGCAGAATTATATCTTCTGTTCGTACTTGATTATAAAGATTTATGCGATGGCACGGAATTACTGTCGTAAAATTTTTTACCATTTTTTAGAGAATTACTTTTCTGTCTTTTTAGCGAGGTTGAAGTCATCATCCACTTTAATTGATAAACCAGATACAATTTATTACTAGATTGTAGCTACCGATCTTGTGATAGGCATTGGTCGTGCCAGAACATGTCAGATTTTCCCCATTCAGAAAAGCAACTGTACAACATCAACTTTAATTAAATCTATGAAATTAAATTATAATAAAATAAACAAGCTACCGATCAAGCTGGCTAACACTACAAATTGTACTGCCAACTATAAATTTTGCGAAAAACAAAAATTTTTTAACATAAAGGTATTATTAACCCATTTTCTATTAACCCACATTATTGGTTGCAATTGCTTTTACAAAAATTAATTAATGTTTTATTAGTATTCATATTTCTTTACTTTCCCAAAGCCTCTCTCTCTCTATAACCCACAATTTGCACTACTTCTTCAGTGGTTACATTGACCTCACCATATTATTTTTACCCCAAAACTTCCTTTAAATAAATAGTTTGCTATAAAACCGTATTGCTAGCAATATAAACAAAAAACTGAAAGAAAACAAATATCCATTTATATTGCATAACACAGTATTTCTTTATTTAACTTTAATGTCCAACCAACAACTCAAACAAATAGCAAAACTTTTCATTTCTTTGGCCTACATAGTGTGTGTGGTGGTTCCTCTACAAACATTCATTTAACCATCTAACCAAGAAACCTGATTGTAAACCATGAACATGTGTCAGTAACGTGCGAATTCAAACTAAAGAAAAAAAAAAAAAACAAATAAAAAAACTTGTTATCATGACGTAGATCCTCCATGGCGAAAAAAAAGAGTCAAGCTCCAATGAGTTATGCCAAATAGAAAATCAAATACAAAAGAAACCAATAGAAAATAGTGAAAAAGAAAGAAATTAATAGTTTAGCTGAATTTTCGTAAAGCAAGCAACACTATTTACAAATAAAATATTTTCAAATTATGCAATTGTAGTTAGTAACTGATGTTACTAACTGTAGTTGTGTGGCAGGATTTCTAAATAGTTTTTTTTTTCCTGTTTAAATGGGTGGCATAATTAGTAATTACACTGTGAATTTGCAAAACCCATTAAAAACATTACGAAATATGTTTCCTTTCTCCTGCTATAATTATTTTGGACAAATTGTTAGATTGTCACCTCTTATTAATTACATCCTCAAAATAAATATTATAATAATGATACATACAAAATAAACTTCATAGTAAGAGGAACATTTATTATAAAGTCCACTATAGATGAAATAAGTCGAAGTGCTTTACGTGAACACCTGTCATGATGGCCTTATTTCAAGGGGGTACTTTTACAACCACTGGATGAGCTGTTAGACGTCTAATCACAACCCCGTTGTGTTTCTAACACACAGGCGGCAATTTTTGCACATCGTTTCGCCGGTCCATGTACAAGCACTTTGCTGAAGTACTCAAGCTATCTAATCTGTGACCGTTGCTGTCCCGTTACGTTACTTTCGAGATTCAAAAACATCACATTGTTTACAACCTCACAGATGGGATGGTCTCTCACGATTCGACAATCGGTAGGCCGAAATACAAATCCATCAAATAAGCCAAAGACAAGTTCTTGCCCACACATAACACACTGTGGCAAGTCTGATATGAACAGATTTACCCCAAAACTTGCCCTGACAATAAAGGAAAATTTAATCACCATTCAACTCAGCACACTTCCCATTTATCCGACACATTTACTCTAGATATACGGGTGTAAGGAGGCCTGCATACCTCCTTATCCAATTCTGTATCAGATACACATAACATCAACTCTCTCACAATAACTGCTCTGCGGGCTAATCATTGTCTTTTTTCGGCAACTAATCCCGAAATATAGATTCACCGTGTATCGGTCTTTTAAACAACATTCTCTTATCGCGAATTTTTAAATTACAGCCACCAAGTACACCTCGGTAGGTACCTCTCCAACAATCCGGACAAGTCAAAGACTGAAACTCTGTCCTGTGGGCTATTGGTTTCCTTGGAACCATATTATACTTTGGTTCGAACCCAGGTCAAATTATTCCAAGGAAAGGCTGATGACACATTAGACACCACAAGTTTATAATCCCGGTTGACTAGAGGCTTCACTTTTTCCCTGATTACAAACACACTAAGGTGGGGGCCTTAGATCAGTTTTTTAAACAACATTCTTTTCCAACGATTTTGGGTTTAAATTACAGTCACCAAGTGCACCCCAGTAGGTACCTCTCCAGCAATTGAGACAAGACAAAGACTAAAACTCTGTCTTATGGGCTACTGGTTTCTTTGGAACCGGATTATATGGTACTTTGGTTCGACCCCAGGTCAAATTATTCCAAGGAAAGGCCGATGATACATTAGACACCACAAGTTTATAGTCCCGGCAGACTAGAGGTACTGGTACCAACACTTTTTCCCTGTTTGGAGACCCACCAAGGTGGGGGCCTTAGATCAGTTTTTTAAACAACATTCTTTTCCAGCGATTTTGGGTTTAAATTACAGTGCATCCCAGTAGGTACCTCTCCAACAATCGTGACAAGACAAAGACAGAAACTCTGTCCTATAGGCTACTGGTTTCCTTGGAACCGGATTATATAGTACTTTGTATCAGTATTTTAAAAAATATTCTCTTCCCCCGATTTTGGGTTTAATTTACAGTCACCAAGTGGACCCCAATAGGTACCGATCCAACAATCGGGACAAGAGAAAGACTGAAACTCTGTCCTGTGGGCTACAGGTTTCCTTGGAACCAGATTATATGGTACTTTGCTTCGTTCCCAGGCCAAATTATTCCAAGGAAAGGCCGATGATACATTAAACACCACAAGTTTATAGTCCCGGCAGACTAGAGGTACTGGTAGCACCACTTTTTCCCTGTTTGGAAACACATCAAGGTGGGGGGCCTTAGATCAGTCTTTTAAACAAGATTCTCTTCCAGCGATTTTGAGTTTAAATTACAGTCACCACGTAGGTACCTCTCCAACAATAGGGACAAGACAAAGACAGAAACTCTGTTATATGGGCTACTGGTTTCCTTGGAACCAGATTATATTGTACTTTGGTTCGGGCAAGGATGATACATTAGACACCACAAATTTATAGCTCTTTTCCCGTGATTTTGGGTTTAAATTACAGCTACCAAGTGGATCCCAGTAGGTATCTCTCCAACAATCGGGACAAGTCAAAGACTGAAACTCTGTTGAAACTCTTGTTCTAAAAAATCAGAGTATACAAAACTTACATTCTAGAACCAATTAAGTTATTCAATGACAATACCCAAAGCGTAATTGTATGAGTGTGTAATATTAATGGTTTAGTCCTAAATCGAGTATAGGAAAGGATGGCCTCAGAAAAGTTTGAGAATCTCCTCTTTAAAGAAAGTTGTCTACAGTATTTAATGATAATTACCAATGAAATAATTGCAGTATTTTATTGTTGAACATAGTAGAAATGATTGTAAATTGCATATCAATGATGTAGTAATGTAATTATTTTTTAATCGACAATATTTCTTTCAGTACAAGTGTATGAATTGTCTATTCATAATTAATTTTCGCCAAACATTTGTTTTAAGGATGTATTATTTGCTATAATTTGGCAACAAAAACTATTATAACATTTGGCAGTTTATCAAAATGATGGAAATACTTTGAAATATAAAATAACGGACAATGTCATTAACATATATTTTTTATTGTTACATGTTAATGAAGCACAAATTGTCTGTTAATTAATTATGCAACAAATGCAATTAAATAAGATTGCGAGAAATTTTCAAAATATTAAAAAAAAGTGGGACAAATAATATTTGATTTGAAGTGACATAAGTTAACAAAGAAAATAATTAACATACATTTCTAATGTTCATTGTTAAACATTATAATTTCTATGCAAAATTGTTTATTATTATCATAATAGAATTATAAGTTTTTATTACACACTTACCCAATAAAATTTCAACCGTTGCCTCACTCATATAATCATGACAATCGAAAGTTTTACCATTTTCTGCCTGCAGTTTACGCACTACATTGCGTGAATTTTCATTGAAAAGATCAATGAAACTTTTCAAAACGTTTAAGTGGAATGTGGGTGCAATCAATTTACGATGTGAACGCCATTTGTGACCTGAAAAAGAAATTGTTAACAATGAAAAGCGTGAATTAGATTTTGTATTATTATTCAAATGGGAATACAAGTAAAAAATTGCACAAATATAAATTGTTAAATCATTCTATTAAATTAATAACAAGTAGTCAGTGATTAATATTCTAATGAGTTTAGATTTTTTTTAAGGAAAAATATGTCTAAATTGATGAATAATTCCTGTTAAAGTTAAATGAATTTTTGGCACATTATATGTACAATATTTTAATTTGTGACAAGTCAAAACCGTGACTACTTCACACATTTTCATTGTCTTCCTACTAGTGATCATGGTGTCATTAACATCTGGTAACATGATTTGAACATGTTTATTTGCCCCATTCTCTAACACCTACACTGAAAAATTTTTATGTTACGCATTTTCTTTTTTTCTGTCTTTTTATTTAAAATGTAATATTTTTTTAACACATACAAATTTATGTTTTATATGAAAATGTCACATTAAATAAATGTTTTATTAATTATTCACAAAAAAATGAACACAATACGTCTGTGTTTTTTGAAAATGACTCATATGATTTGAAACATTTGTGCAAAATATTAGATTTTAGACATTGTTGTTTAATTTTAATAACATGATTTAAAAAAAATAAACTTTTTAACTTTATTCATAAATTACTTACCCGTACTAATCAGTAAACCATCTCCTAGCCATGGTTTGAAAAACTTATATTCGGATGCTTTGTCTATATATACCTGACTGCTTAGTAATATTTCAACATCTCTGGGGTCATATATAAATATCACCAATTTCGGACCAATCCACATTTTGGCCACGTGAGGAAACTCAGCACTTTTACGTATAACAGTTTTGAAAACAGCTGTAATTTAGGAAATTAAAATTAATAGAGAATTTTTTTTATAAAAAAACTTTTTCGAAAATCTTCCATAATATTACAAAATACAAAAATGTTTATAAATTTTCTATTATTACAATTTTTTATAATATATGAACTTTTCCAAATTTTCCATAAAAAGAAAATTTTTTATTTTTTTTGAAATAATTGTTTTTGAAAATAGAATTTTTTAAAACATTCCCCTAAAACGAGATTTCTTGTAAGGAGAATTTTTCGAAAATTGTCTTATTTCTTATATTTCTTTAATAATAGTTTTTGAAAAGATAATTTTAAGAAAAAAGGGAAATTTTCGACATTGTATAAAAAGAGAGCTTTTCAAACAATTTCTATATAAAAAGAATTATTCGAAAAAGTTTTTTAAAAATAGAATTTATCGATTCTTTTTGTAATTATAGATTTTTTCAATAATATTCTCTTTAAAAACAGAATTTCTCGAAAAATTTCTAGAAAAAGAGAATTTGAAATATTTTCGAAAAAAGGACTTTTAAGATAATTTTTCAAAAAGTTCCTATAAAAAGAGAATTTTAATTATTTTTGAAAAGAAGACTTTTAAGAGAAAAAGAAAATTTTAATTATTTTTTAAAAGTTGTTTATAAAAAGATTTTTTTTTAATTTACTTCAAAAGAAGAATTTTTTTAATTTTCTATAAAAAAAAAGAATTTTTCGACATTCTATAAAAATAGGGTTTCGAAATTGTTTTAAAAACAAAATTATCGATTCTTTTTGTAAAAATGTTATTATTGTTGAAAAAGACTTTTTAAAAGAGAATTTGTGAAAAAAATTTTATAAAAAAGAATTTGCCGATTTTTTTTTATAAAAAGAGAATTTATCTGTAAAAAGAGAATTTTTCGAAAATTTTCTATCAAAACAGAATTTTTCCAAAATTTTCTATCAAAAGAGAATTTTTCCAAAAATTTCTATAAAAAGAGAATTTTTCGAAAATTTTCTATCAAAAGAGAATTTTTCCAAAATTTTCTATCAAAAGAGAATTTTTCCAAAAATTTCTATAAAAAGAGAATTTTTCGATAATTTTCTATAAGAATATAACTTTTCGATCATTTTCTACGAAAAGAGAATTTTTGGTTCATTTTCCACGAAAAGAGAATTTTTCGATAATTTTCTACGAAAAGAGAATTTTTCGATAATTTTTTACGAAAAGAAAATTTTTCGATTATTTTCTACGAAAAGAAAAATTTTCGATCATTTTCGACAAAAAAAAAAAAAAAAATATAATTTTCTCCGAAAATATAACTTTTCGATAATTTTCTATAAAAAGACAGTTTTTCAAAAATTTTCTATAAAGAAAATATTTTTGATCATTTTCTACGAAAAGAGAATTTTTCGATCACTTTCTATGAAAAGAAAATTTTTCGATTATTTTCTATATAAATATATTTTGTGAAGATATTTTGTAAAAGAAAATACTTCCAAAATGTTGTAGTAGAAATAGAAAATGTAATGAAAATTTTCTTTTAAAAACAATTTTATAATTTGAAAGACAAATACATATATTAAACGTCAAAGGTCACTTAAATGCTGTCATTCTTATAAATAAAGGATTTATAGCACAATTTAGAGAGTTTGTTCTTGATTGGACAAAATTTCATAATTCACAGAAGCACTTCGACTTCATTTTTTACGGCCGACTGAAGGCGTAGAAGTTTTTAACAATTTAGTATTTTTTGGAAAAGCGGATGTTAAAAAATATCTTTTGTGATCCTGACGATTTAAAAATGCAATTTACTAGTTATGAATTTTCCAATATGTTTTGTATTCGATGTTTTTTGGAAATATTTAGATTTTTGATATAGAATATTTTAAATTATTTTAAATGATCTTCACAAGAAAATATATATTTTTTTAAATTATTTTTATCGCTTTTCATTAACTCTTATTGTTTTTTAAATTAATGTTTTTTTTTTTGCTTTTTTACAATTAATTTTACACAGTATTTTAATATTTCTGTTTTTTTATATAAATTTTATTCTGGAAAAAATTTTTATTCTTTAAATTATCACCATTATTTTACTTATTATATTTCATTGTATTCACATACACGAAGCTGGTCCCAACACATCGAATAAATGACCCACTATTGGTAATCCTTTGGGTCCTGGTAATTTATCGGCCAATTCGTATAAATGTCGCCGAGATAATCGCCAGTACAGAAACCACAATAAAATAGTGGGCAATAATAAAAAATAAAAAACACTGCCGGGAGATATTAGATTGGGATCTTTTAGCATTTCTAAAGCCATTTTAAAAAACTGTTAATTTTTTTGATTACAAAATTTTAAACACTGGTTTTAATTTTTTTTTTTAATTTTGCGCAATATTTGATTTTTCTATTAATTTATTAAAACACTAAAATATAATAAAATATAGTGTTTTTTTGTATTTTTCCACTAGTTGAATACTTTTTCACTAATTTCTTTTTTTTTATATTATATAGTCGACCGTTACTTTTTTTCAGTTATTTTTTCCCGAATTTAATTCACCGTTCAGTTGAAATAGCGCGTCCACAATTAAACTGTGAACGTGCATCCAAATGCAGCTTACTTTTATAGCCTGTGTTTGCTTAACTTTTGTCGGTTGTCTAGTTTGTCTGCCTGTCCCACAGTTAGTTACTTAGTTAGTTTGTCAATTCGTCAGTTAGTTATTTATTTTAGTTTATTTTATTTAGTAGTCCCTGGTATTTATTTTTGTGCAAAAATTCAACCATTTGTATAGAAACATCACATCTATCTATCTACTCTACCTCATATTCAAGTCAACAATCGGGTTTCAATCGTAGGCTCTTTTAGTTTTTCTTCTTGTGTGTGGATTTTTTAGTTTTATTGTATTGTAGTCGATTATGAGTTCATAATAGGGTTTTCAGAAGTATCCCGAAAATTTCCTTAATAATTTCATGGAATGTTTGTCTCATAAAGTACGATTTATTGCTCAAAATAAAATTTGCACTTAAAATCCAATTTTATATATAAAATCCATTTGTGACCAGAACATTATTTCACACCAAAAATGATTTTTTTTATATCCGATTTTTCACCTAAAATCAGCTATTTCCCCATAATCGTATTATGACTACAGTCATAATATAGAACAAACTATAGTCGACACTACAGTCGGCACTATAGACTAAACTCTAGTCAGACTATATACTAAAATCTAGTCAGACTATAGACTAAACTATATTCAGACAATAGACTAAACCATAGTCAGACTACAGACTACACCATAGTCAGATAATATTCTAAACTATTGTCAGACAATAGACTAAAATATAGTCAGACTAAACACTGAAATATAGTCGGACTATAGAGTAAACTATAGTCAGACAAAATACTAAACTATAGTCAGACTAAAGACTAAGCCATAGTCAGACTAAAGAATAAACTATAGTCAGACTATAGACTAAACTATTATCAGACTATAGACTAAGCTATAGTCAGACTATGGACTAAAAATTAGTCAGACTATAGAGTAAACTATAGTCAGACTATTGACTAAACTATAGTCAGACTATAGACTAAACTATAATTAGACTAAAGATCACACTATAGTCAGACTATAGACTAAACTATAGTCAGACTATAGACTAAACTATAGTCAGACTATAGACTAAACTATAGTTATACTAAATAATAAACCATAGTCAGACTATATACTAAACTATAATCAGACAATAGACTATAGTCAGACTATAGACTAAACCATAGTCAGACTATAGACTAAACTATAGTTATACTAAATAATAAACCATAGTCAGACTATAGACTAAACTATAGTCAGACAATAGACTATAGTCAGACTAAAGACCAAATATAGTCAGAGTATAGACTAAGCTTTAGTCAGATAATAGACTAAACTATAGTCAGACTAAAGACTAAGCTATAGTCAGACTAAGGACCAAACTATAGTCAGACTAAAGAATAAACTATAGTCAGATTATAGACTAAACTATAGTTTTGCTATGGACTAAACCATAGTCAGACTATAGACTAGTCTATAATCAGACTGTAGACTAAACTACAGTCAGACTATAGACGAAACTATAATCAGACTATAGTCTAAACCATAGTCATACTATAGACTAAACTATAGCCACACAATTGATTAAACTATAGTTAGACTAAAGACCAAACTATAGTCAGACTATAGACTAGACTATAATCAGACTATAGACTAAACTGTAGTTAGACTATAGACTAAACTGTAGTCTCGACTATAAAATAAACTGCAGTCGAGACTGTAGACTAAACTGAGACTTTAAACTAAACTGTAGTTGAGACTTTAAACTAAACTGTAATAGATTTTGTTGAATGATATTCTCGAGACTATGTACTTAAATTATAGTTGAGCCTACAGTCTAACCTATTGCCGAAACTATAGACTAAACCATAGTCTAGACTATATACTAAACTGTAGTACATATAGACTAAACTATAGTAGAGACTGTAGACCAAAGTATAAAAGTTAAATGGAATTTCTCAATTGGAGCGTTATTTGAAGATCTGCGATTTTAGGTTTTTTGTATAAAAATCGATTTTTGGTGCGAAATAAGAAATAGTATTCTTTAGTTGAGACTGTGTAGAATATAAATAATAATAAGTCAGACATAGACTACACTATAATCAGACTATAGTCCGTGCTATAGAAAATCTATATTCAAGACAACGGACTAAACTGTAGTTTAGAGTGTAGACTAAACTACAATTGAAATTCTGTATAGTTAAATATGTAAGCGAGATTATAGACCAAACTGCAACATTTAAACAAAACAAGAATGATTTTAGTCAAATTTCCGGGATTTAAAGGAATAATATAAATTTTTTTGCAAACCCTAGTTTATACTCATAGTTACGTATATTTTGTCGTGTGTAAGCGGCATAATGCAAATGCATTAATTGTAATTTTAGTACCCTACATTTATATATGAGTTACTAAGACGATTTAATCTAGTCCAGTAATAAGTACAAAAACTAAATGTTTTAATTAGTATTGTCCTATTTTATTACAAACAATTGATAATTATGTGACATATGTAAATGAACAGAGATTTACCACAGTATTCATAAAGATTTTAATCGTTTATTTATGGCTTATTACAAAATTCCTATAATAAACCATCAATAACTTTATTAAGCGTTTTTGAATACAGGTATGAATTTTTGTATGCATTTCAAATTTTGAAAGAACTTAATGTATTTTGTGCTAATTTCTTCTACAAACTTTGATGCTCATTTTATGTTCAAATCTATTAGAAAGTTACTCTATTTGGACTGGTTTCAAGCATTTTTATATGACGACTTTTTTTTTTAAATTCGTACCAAATATCAATAAATATTTGAAATTTTTTATTAATAAGTTCATAAACGTAGTGTATATCTCTGTTGCCTATCGCCGGTTGTTTTTATTTAATTTCTTTTCTTTTTTAATTTCTTCTTCAGCTAGTCAAAGCTCAGTTTAAATATCTATGATTTATAGGCTTAAGTAATTTTTAATTTTTATTTTTTTTTGCCCGATAAACATTGAGCATCTGGAGTTATCTCGTACACTCGTAATAAATAGTACTGCTAGAGTAATATTTAGACAAAAATTGAGAGTAATTATAATTTTACTCTGAAAATGTAGACAATATCTCAATATTATGCTGTTTGTTTAATTGTTTTTATGGAAAATTTTGTGATTTGTTTACTAAGAAGAAGACAGAATTAAAAAAGTTTATAAAATAATGATAAAAAATGTATTGTTTATTATTACAACTTAGGTCATTAATCTCATTAATGTCTTGTTCTTAAAACAATTGTTAAGCTGATTTATGCAAAAATGAGGAACTTAAACTATTTAATTTAAAGGAAAATTTGTATTTAAACTTTATAGTTAAAGATAAAAAATTTCCCAAATTACTTTCATTTCAAGCTGTTTTGATTACAACCATTTTTCGCAATTACTATTTTTAAAATTTAATATGGCAATTGTAAATATTTATATGTTTATTTTGAATTGTATAATAATAAATTATTTTGCACATTGCGTGCCTATTAGTAGTTGTGAATTTATTCTTGTAAAGAATTTGTAGAATTTTGATAATAAAATAGTAATTAAAACAAAATTTTAACTATTTGAAAATTAACTTACAATAAGTCTTTTTATTTATGCACATAATTTACAAATTAAAACATACAATTACTTAATGATATTATTATTAATAATAATAATTAAAATAAAAATTTATTTATAAAGTTTTTTAGCTTTATTAAGAAACTCGGGCGTAAAGGATTTTTAAAATTTCTTATGCAAATCACTCTGATTTTTTAAGTTTAATTTTTAAAATTGATTTCCGCTTGTGTTTTTAAATAACGCTTTTAGTTAAAGTAATAAATTACTTAAATATACTTAAATTATATTTATATTTATCACTTAAATATGTGGTTAATATTTATATTTTCTTTTCTATAATTAATAAATTTAATATTCTTAATTTTTAATTTATACAATTTTGCCAAAAACAATTTACTATTACAATGGAAGTTAGTTAACATCAAATAGACTCGAAACAATGTTCCTTGGCTTTAGTTTAGTTAGTAGTTACGACTATAGTTGGGTCAATAGTCTTAACTATAGTTTAGTTTATAGTCTATTGTCATAACGGTAGTTTAGTCTTTTGTGTTGACTATTTTTTCAATAGTATCTTCTATAGTTTTGTCAATAGACTCGACTGTAGTTAAGTCTAAGATCTTGACTATAGTTAAGTCTATAATCTCGACTATAGTTAAGTCTATAGTCTCTACTATAGTTTAGTCTATAGTCTCGACTGTAGTTTAGTCTAAAATTTCGATTATGGTTTAGTTAATAGTTTGGACTATGGTTTAGTCAATAAACTCGACATAGTATATCGATTATAGTTCAGTTAATGGTCTCGACAATAAACCTCGTCTATAGATTCGCAATAGACTGTACTGTAATTAAGTCTAAAGTCTTGACTGTAGTTAAGTCTAAAGTCTCGACTATAGTTTAGTCTATAGTCTCGACTCTGGTTTATTCAATAGTCTCGACTATGGTTTAGATAATAGTCTCAACTATAGTATAGTCACGACTGTAGTTATGTCTATAGTCCCTTTCATAGTTTAGTCAAAAGACTCGTTAGTTTAGTTAATGGTCTCGACTATAGTTTATTCAATAGACTCGAGTTAGTTTAGTCAATAGTTTCGAATATGGTATAGTCAATGGTATTGACTATCGTTTAGTGAATAGGCTGTATTATAGTTTAGTCAATAGTCTCGTCTATAGTTTAGTCAATAAACTCGACATATTATCTCGATTATAGTTTAGTTAATGGTCTCGACTTTAAACGCCGTCTATAGATTCGTCAATTGACTGTACTATAGTTAAGTCTAAAGTCTTGACTATAGTTAAGTCTAAAGTCTCAACTATAGCTTAGTCAATAGTCTCGACTATCGTTAAGTCAATGGTCTCGACTATGGTTATGCCTATAGTCCCTCCCATAGTTAAATCAAAAGACTCGTTAGTT